AAATTATTTTTTTACAGAACCCTTCCCTAGAATGGTATAATGAACTCCCCAAAGTCTCATGGCTATCGGATGAACGATGCTAAACCAAAATCGACTTTTATTTTTATATACGGTATATAGAGAAAAACAAATCGCACCCTGCCGGGGCGCCACCCCTGCGAATTTGATTTTTTTTTTCGCAGAAACCTCCCCAGGAATATTCTCAACAACTTCCCAAAGTTTCACGGCGATGTGATGAGAGGTGTATAAACGCATAAAGGACAAACAAACACATACACATACATTGCTTTATATATATATATATATATATATATATATATATATATATATATATGCCTATATATTGTTTTATCTAAAGCTTGTGACTCACACACCTTTGGTCCCAGGTGTGTCTATAATTGCTCATCTACGTGTGAGTCTTCTGAATGTAACAGAGCAAATGGTTTTTGCTATAATTGTAAAGCAGGATTTCACGGAGCTTTCTGTGAAAATGGTACGTGCTTCTTTCTCAAACAACAATATTCTGACAAGTGTACTGGAATTCGAACATATTATAAGACAAGTGGTACGTGAGTAAATAGTCTTGAAGGTGAATTGCATAAGAAAATTTAGAATTTAAATTGTAGTACATCTCGGACTGTTATATGGAGAGGATTTTTGTTGTCTGTGAAAATAACGTTATTTTGTTTACAAGCTTTTATTTAACGTGCTTCCTCTGTCTTTCGACAGTCTGTGTCGTAAATAGATAGAAACAGCCGAGCGAGATTTCGGCCACTCCTAACTCGCAGATTAGTTTCAAAGTTACACGTGGGTCAAAACTTGAAGACAATGCAATATAACATACAATTTGACTTAATTGGATGACTAATTATTTTTTTATGAATTAATTAAAACTTTTTTTAAATTAGTAGGCAGTCTTATCAAAATGTTCCGCATTATTATCCGCATGTTATTATGTTCATTTGTTGCGCAGTATTTTTAGTCATGCAAATCTATGGTATTAAAAATGTTAAAGTACTGAAAAAATGCATTAAAAAACGCTTTAATAACAAGCTTTTATGTAATAATGCACTAAAAAGGAGAAAGTAAATGATTGTCTTTAAATATATAATAATACACTACCATTTAAATAAATATAAAAAAGCGTTGGTCGCTTCCTAACTTTAAGCAAAATTGTCCATTACCTATTATAACGAATTACGCTTTCTTTATTGTTATTTAAATAGTAGTATTAGTTTATGTTTAAAGAGAATCATTCATGTTCTCCTCTTTCAGTGCAATATTACAAAAAAGCGTGTAATTACAACTTTTTATGCATTTTTTATAGTTCCATGTTAATTTCTGGTAATTCATTTATATATACATTTTTTTTAGAAAAATTTCAAAATATACTTATCAGATATTCATTATGAAATAAGTAAATTAAAAGAGTTACCCCAAAGTTCAGTATTTTAATAATCCATTTGTTTAAAATGTATTACAACTGTGTCCTGGATCGATATAAAAGCATTGTTTGAATTTAGAGACTTACAATTAGAGAATGTAATTTAAAGATGCTATTATTAAAACATATTCATATCGTTTCATTTAAAGCGTGTGACAATGCGCATTATGGAGCAGGCTGCACGTCAAACTGTAGTCACCTGTGTGTACGTAATGAGACACAAGCCTGGTGTAACAAGACAGATGGCCAGTGTCTACTTGGATGTTTGTCTGGGTTTAAACAAGAAGATACAGAGTGTAGCAGATTCTGGGGTTAGTGCCCTAAGTTTAATTACACGATTAAAAGGTCTAAGTCATCTTAAGATCAATCTAGAATATACATAGGCCTATGTATATATATATATATATATATATATATATATATATATATATATATATATATATATATATATATATATATATATGTGTGTGTGTGTATAAAGAGCATAGTTTCTTCCAGGCATCTCTTCGAAGAAAGTCTACCGCCCCCCAACCCCGGACGAAATGAAATTTATATAGAAAATATATACTTTTAACAGTGTCCGCCCCCCGAAGAAAGTCTACCGCCCCCCCCCCCCCCCCCCCCCCCCCCGAAAATTTCAAGTGCGCCCCCCCCCCAGGAGAATAAAGTCTGGAAGAAACACTGAGAGAGAGAGAGAGAGAGAGAGAGAGAGGGAGGGGGAGAGATCGAGGGAGAAAGCAAAAAAAGCAAGATCACCTGTAAAATAAACCGGGAGCTATCTCCCCTGAACTTTCTCGAATATTCTTTTATAAAAAAACTTGGGATGGGAACTTGGGATCTAGACATGAATTTTAATCCATTTTAAATACTTAAACTTTTTAAAATAGAATAACATCTAGTAGTAAAAAGAATAGCACTCTTGTGAACGCCAAATAAAACGTGCATAATAGTGCGGAATATTATTAGTACTTTATAAATTTACATTCGTTTTTTGAGAAATCGGAGATAGCGTAAGTTAGTACTTTTAATCAACGGAAATTATCTAACTAAAATAGTACTCAAGTTATATGCTTTTTAAAAATTCAAAGTAGAAAAAGTACCACTTCCGGTTATCGGAAATTGCTCAAAAGTTGATACGAATCTACGATTTTGATAAAATACTTATATATGAAATTTCATCAACCTAGCTGTAACGGTACTCATCGTGTTTACACACAGACACACAGACATACGGACAGAATTGCAAAGTCCAGTTTTTACGACTCGATAATGCATAAAACGCCAAAATGTTTATATATTTGTATTTATAATTTTTGCCTGATGAAATAAGTCTTCTATACTCCGGATGTGATGAAGGACTGAGGAGTAAAACGGTGAAAACTGTCAAAATTGCATGTTATTTTGGTGCATGATTACAATACTTTCTCTATACTTCGTATCTACGAGAAAGTAAAAAGAGGGTGAAAGATTTAAACAAAAAAGTCTAGTTCCCATTGTTCTATTTCAAATAATCAATATTCTATCTTAACTTCTAAACTAATGTGAGTAATACTCTTATTTCGTAGCTCCACAACAAAGTGCCGATAAAACTGATGGCAACACGCTGATACCTATAGTTGTACCCATCGTAGTTGTATTGGTAGCAGTATCTCTAGTAGTGGCTAGTGTAATCTACTACAGGTAGGTGTCCAACAGACGGTAAAATGTACGAGTTTAGTGGACTGAGAAGTTATAATTTATACAATTATTGCTCGCGTGATTTCTTAAATGAAATGTAGCTATGTAACAAAGTACACAGAAGCATAAAAATGTGTAACATTAAGTTTGTTTTTTGCTTGTAAGACGCCGTAATGCCAAGGGAAGTAAGCCACTACAATTAGATGCGGGTAACAAAGTGCAGACAACTACATTAGATGCTAAAGATGGAAGTATTAGATCTATGCAGATAGGTAGTGACATTTATAAGATTTGTTGCCTAATTCTGTTAGTTTTCTTTGTATGTGCCGAATTTTTGTATTTGTGTTGCTCATTCGTCATCGAAAATTAGATGTAAGCAAATTAAAACTATTAACTAAAATAAGTTTATCATCAAAGTTTAATATCCGTCTTTGAACAAAATATAATATTTTTAATTGATCTTTAGAATTAGATCAATCAGTGCCCCAAAAACCTGTAGCTGTCGTCAACGCTTATTGTAACGGTAATGTAGACAAAAAGTACATTGAGGTCTCAAATCTGAATGAATTTATGTTGGCCCATGGAGCTGAATATTTCTCAAATGAGTTCAAGGTTAGACATTATATACTACTTTAACCAATAAATGAATTAATACAATCTTAACATGTTTTAGCTAGTTAAGTGTATATTAAGTATTTAAATAATCGAATTTACCGGTATCTAACGTAATGTTAAACATGTTTTGGTTATTTCAGCTGATTCCGTCACCACAAAATTTATCTATGTCAGTTGGACTCAGTGATCTTAACAGAAACAAAAACAGATACAAAAATATTTGTGCATGTAAGGTCTTGTTAGTTATATGAAAAATAATTTAAAATGTTATATAAAATATTATAGTCCATACTGTTATGATTTTTACATCATCAGATGACCATTCTCGCGTCCATCTTGAGATCAACACCAGCAAAAATGAAGGAGACTACATCAATGCTTCTTACATAGAGGTATATAATAATGTGTGTTTATCACTTACAATATGGTTTATATCACGCTTTGTAACATAAAATGCCAGACGTGTGTATTCTACCAAATATTATGTTTAATTCACTAGGTGGTGCTAATGTTTAATTCACTTGGTGGTGCTAATGTTTAATTCACTTGGTTGTGCTAATGTTTAATTTACTTGGTGGTGCTAATGTTTAATTTACTTGGTGGTGCTAATGTTTAATTCACTTGGTGGTGCAAATGTTTAATTTACTTGGTGGTGCTAATGTTTAATTCACTTGGTGGTGCTAATGTTTAATTCACTTGGTGGTGCAAATGTTTAATTCACTTGGTGGTGCAAATGTTTAATTTACTTGGTGGTGCTAATGTGTGATTCACTTGGTGGTGCAAATGTTTAATTCACTTGGTGGTGTTAATGTTTAATTCACTTGGTGGTGCTAATGTTTAATTCACTTGGTTGTGCTAATGATTAATTCACTTGATTGTGCTAATGATTAATTCACTTGGTGGTGCTAATGATTAATTCACTTGGTTGTGCTAATGATTAATTCACTAGGTGGTGCTATTGTTTAATTCACTTGGTGGTGCTAACGTTTAATTCACTTGGTGGTGCTATTGTTTAATTCACTTGGTGGTGCTAATGTTTAATGCACTTGGTGGTGCTAACGTTTTATTCACTTGGTGGTGCTAATGTTTAATTCACTTGGCGGTGCTAATGTTTAGTTTACTTGGTGGTGCTAATGTTTAATTCACATGGTGGTGCTAATGTTTTATTCACATGGTGGTGCTAACGTTTTATTCACTTGGTGGTGCTAATGTTTTATACACTTGGTGGAGTTAATGTTTAAAAACATGGCTTATATTTAAGGTCGCTCTTTACCATACACCTGTTTCAACATGTTTGTATGCAAGTTACTCCTCTTCAACTGATTTATTCAACACTTGCAACATGAAGTAGGCATTATATGAATACGTTTAAATTGTCTATACGTTCAAAAGATTGGTAGTAAAAAGTAAGCAAGCTTAAAATACAGAGGGAAAATAGGAACTCTCCAGACTTTCGGTTAGCAGTCTTTAGGGTTACAATCTAGTCACAAATTTTCAAAACCGCGAAGAGGATATGTGAACATTTTTACTTATTTAGTTTTTGTGTTTTATTGATTCGAAATAGGTGTGTTGCAAATAATAAATTATACAATTTTTCAGGGCTATAACAATGAAGAAAAGTTTATTGCTTCACAAGGTAATATAATATACATAACCAAAACGTATACAGCGATAAAGATTCGAATAAATTGCATAACAAAATTTGTTTTACCTTAAATAATTAGATTGATTAGCGAGTATGTTGTCATAGCCTGCACTTTATCCATCATAAACCTATTCTTTAGCATTGCTAAACTGAAATGTGTGATGCGTTTACGAAAGAAATTATTTTTAGCTTACCATAATTTAATGTGTACGACTTTATATGATTTTATTTTTGCATCTTTAATGTAATTTATGGCTGTATGTTACCCTCTTCTAAATTGTACCAGGTCCAACTGATGCGACAATAAATAACATTAAGTTTCTCTCTTGTAAACTGTACTAGGTCCAACTGATGCGACAATCAACGACTTTGTACGAATGTTGTGGCAACAGAAAGTTGATAAAGTTGTGATGCTGACTAACCTTATAGAGGAGGGCAAGGTACACTGAAATAAATACGTCGTAAATTATAACACGAACAAATATATTGGAATGTGAAGAAACGTATTGTATTACCTATTCCCCCTAATTTTACATCTGATCGTGAAAGTTCACAAATGGTAGATTTTGAATACATACATTTTTAAAAGTATTTATAGAAATATTGAAATATGTTAACTAAAAATTAAAGCAAACTTTTGTTTATATATATATATATATATATATATATATATATATATATATATATATATATATATATATATATATATATATATCTTGTGTTACAATATTTTTATATTGACAAGGTGACAATGTATTTTTCCAGATGAAATGTGTAAGTTACTGGCCAGAAGAAGGTACAACCACATTTGGTGACATCAAAGTTAAGCTGGCAGCTACTCATGTTTTTGCTGACTACACTATCAGGAAGTTGGAGCTCATCAAGGTATACATTGCATGGCATGATTGATGCCCATTTTCCTATTGCTTATATCAGCCGGGACTTAGTGTAGGGAAAGAGAATTCCAAAGAATTTTTTTGCGCAATTTCCATTCTGAAGAATTGCGTTTATTAACTCGTCATTTCTGGGAATGGATGGATGAATGAATGAATGAATGTATGGATGAATGTGTGTCCGGGCTTTAAGTCGTATCTCCTCCTCAACGAAGCAATATCGATGACTAGTTCCAAAAGCAATTATGTTAAGCAAATTGCGAGAATGAGCATAGGCCATAACAATTCCGGGTTTCTTTCATGTATTTCCCGGAAAAGCCAAAAAACCTCAAAAAAATTCAGTTTTTGGCCCATATCTCGGCAACCAGACCACTTAGCGACTTGAAACATGTACCAATCGATTCCTGCTATAATTTAAAACAATATTGCCGAAGAAAGTTTTCAAAAATATCCTCTCGTTCGGTCACAAATTTTAAAATTACATAAACACCTACAAACCGATCGTTCTTCTTGCTTGAACGCACCCCAGCATTATACGTCAGAGCTATTTTTAGATAACATAAGGAAATTGCGCATACATGTCACTAGACTTTTTTAATTAACTTGTTTTTTCCAGATATAGACGATTAAAATCGATTTTCAAAAATATATCAACCTGATAGCACTTTAAAAAGAGCGATTGCTTTGACCCTTACTTACACACAATTGAAATCGACTGTGAAGAAAGAAAGAATGCAATATTTATTTGTAAAAGGGTGATGGGTAGACTTTGATGCATTTAATTCGACATTTCGACATTTTTTAAAAATACTATTTATTTTTACAGAAAGATCATCCGACCCACCATTTCACCCAGTTCCACTTCACATCGTGGCCAGACAAAGGTGTGCCTCTAACACCGTGGGGACTTGTGGACTTTGAACAGAGGGTGGCGTTAGAAAAAACTTCTAAGCCAATCCTTGTTCATTGCAGGTAATTATATATTAATCTTATAATGCAGTTGAGTAATCTATTCACAATGATGTATTTTAATATATAAAATAAATACACATTAATTGTTAGTAATTTTAATCACATATATTAAATATTTGGTAGCGCTGGTGTAGGACGTACTGGAACCTTCATCGCTCTACGTAATGTAATGAGAGAAGCTGAAGACACGGGGCGGATAAATTGTTTTCAAACTGTGGCCAAACTCAGACAAGACAGGGTTCTGATGGTTCAAACTGCGGTAATGTCGGATACATATATATTTTAATATTATTTAATGTTTTGATTTCTGTTCCTATAAGTGTGATTAAAAATACTTGTTTACACATAACTTTAATAACTGTGTAGAAATAAATGGTTTATACTGTCTTATCAAATCTTGTAAATCGTTATGTACCAGGAACAATATGAATTCCTCCACAAGGCAGCTGAGGTGGCCATTATTTGTATAGGTACCACAGTGACGTCCAGAGACATTACGTCTAGAATCTCTCATCTAGAAGAAAGCGTGGGTGGAAGAAGCAACCTTGATAAGGAGTTCAAGGTGAGTAAACGTAGACTCCGTGTTCAACTGTACACGTGTATTTTAATAACAACTTGTTTGGAGATAATGCACCGTCTAAAATTGTAAAACGTTCATTAGCGAATATGGAAATATATAAACCATAATTGGGCTAATATCAGGATCACCAAGAAAAGCCAGAATTACCTGCGCTTTATTGATGCCGACACGCCCTTTAAAAAGTTACAACATATATGTTTAAGTAATGCAATATAACGTAGGTTTACTTTTTAAAATGTCACAACATTCAAGTTTAAATAACTCACTCATAGCTACTGTTAAATTCAATCAAAATATAACCTCACTCTTAATAATGTATTTAATATATTCATGTAAAAATAGTTGATGTATCTTTTAGTAATGTTAAAACAGAAAATTGTTGTTTGACTAGTGCTGTAAGCAGCAGGAGAATAATTGCAATGTGCTACCTAGATTAACAGTAATACGGCAACTGAAACATGTATAAAAGTATAACCTTTAAATGTATTATGCATTTCAGGCAATTTTAGCTGTGTGTTCAGATTTTATAAAAGATGACGTCAATGGTTCAAATGTTGACGAAACTAATGTGTATCAGAACAATCATCCACCAGAAATGGCTAAAAATAGAGTCTCCGCCATTCTTCCAGGTATGTTCTTTTCTTTTTAATTAGCATAATTTGCTTTGGTAAACTGTCTTCTTAATTATTTTTTTTTCTGATTCATCTAACTACCTCCTTGTGATAAAATGAAAATAATTCACAGATAAAATATACAGAGCCGTTTTATTAATAGAGTCTGCCAATTTAAGTGACTACATTAATGCTGTTTTAGTTTCGGTAAGAGTAAATAATGTTTAAAAAAAAAAACTAATTCAACTTTTTAGGATAAAATGAAAATTATCTTACTGAAATTTTATTTTAAAAGATTTTATGTACCATTATTTCTTAACCAGGGTTTTACCAAACGAGAGAACCAGATACTAACACAGCTCCCAATGCCAAACACAGTCACAGATTTCTGGAGATTGGTGGCCCAGTACAATGTTAAACTTGTCGTGGCTTTTCAGACTGAGGATTTTGAAAAAGACAAGGTAATCTGTTTGTATTAGCAAACTTATTGTACGACTTGTTTACTCAAACTAAATGTAGAACTACTTCATTTCAAAAGTACATTATTAAAGTCCCTAGGCCAGTATCTGCCTGCCGACATGACAACACCTTTAGACTGTGGACCATATGAAATACACACAGGACCTGTCAAGTCTGAGAGTTTATGGGAGGAACAACAGATCACGGTCAAAGTCGTCAAGAAAGCATTGGGTTTCTTACCTGTAAGTTGTTAAAAATGCAGAAATATAATTGCTGTATTGTATAGTAAGGTTTATTCATTATATAACCGACACTATTACTTGATTGGCTACATTAAATACGAATGCTTACATCAACAGATTACTAATGAATCCCACGTAACCCACATTGCGAGTAAAAGCACAGACCTGAATCCCAAGAATCTTCTCAAACTTCTCAAACACACAAGGTCAAACAATGTACAGGCACAGGGGAGAGTACTCTACATGTGCAGGTTATTATAGATTTTTTCCCGATAATTTCCCCTGAATATTACTTACATTTTATTAGTGATTGTCAAGAAATCTCAGGTTACGTTTGTTTGTCTTTTAACCTCGGGAGATTAACGCACAGTGTTATGAGCTAACTCTTCAAGTGAATATGTTTACTGTTGACATAACTGACCTATATGTTACTAAGTTTCGAACATACTACACGCATGTGAAATTAGCATCTTTAAAAAGTATGCGTGTATGTTAAAATTGACGATTATAGCCAGCTGTGTTTTTAAAAAAAGTGTTTCTAAAACTTAATAAACAAACGGATACAACATTTTATATTGATGGTGCGGGTTCACAACTAAACAATATGAAGTGACAGTAACCGGATGCTGGGATGCAAGTTACACCTGATTACACAAAATACAATCTTAAGAGGATATAAATCAAGACAATGACTTGTAATATTGTTTAACCTTATTTGCAAAATTTTGTATTTAGAAACGGAGCTGAGTACAGCGGCCTGGCCTGTGTGTTGAGTCTTCTACTTGACCGAATGGACCATGACCAAAGCTTAACAGTTCCACTTGTTGTTGGTGCCATCAAATGTATCAGACCACAGGTCATTCCGTCTCTGGTAAATACGTTTCAGTCTATCTATACCTACATTAATTTTAATTTGTTTCGATCTATGATTTAAAAGGAAACGAGTAATATGAAAATGTGTTGTTTTCGACAGAATCAATATAGATGTCTATATCAAGTTCTACAAAGATATAACGAAACGAGTTCACCGTACAACAACCACGACCAGCTGTCAAGACCCTCATACGATGCATATGTAAACATACCTTTAGAGATCAATGGTGAAGAAAACGTGTATGCCAACAGCCAAAATGCCACACGAATATGAAATATAACTTTACAAAAAGATACTTCTTAACTTTGGTTTTTTTTCTTGTTAAATCATTAAAAATGATATCAAATTACTGTTTCATTTTGCAAGATGAGTACATTCATTAGCCATAATATTTTTTTAAAATAATTAAATCTACATTTGTGTGCAAACCTGTGTGCTAACGTTGGAGTGAACATGGGCTGCGGGGCTTCCAGTCTAACTGTTCATAAGCCTGAGTGACCACTAGAGTCGTTCCTTTTGTTTTCCCACCCGTCGAGAATGTTGATCCCAAGGATCGCCTTCGACGTGGGCGCCTTGTGCACCACGTAGGTCTGAGGTTGCATTTGCAACTTGGCTGGGTGTTTGCTCTGTTTGTTTGTTAATTAAGTTTATTGATTTTCTTTAGAGTTGTTTTATTACCCTAGTTAAATTGTAGTGTATTTATTATTGCTTTTTAATATTAATGTTTCCACTTCTTTTGTATATAAAATTAATAACTTGATTTATATTTAGCTTTTTTTAAAAATCTAGTTTAAGATTAGGGTATAACCACCGTGAGTTTAACCTAGGTTGCACTGACGCCGGGTTTATGATTAGCCATGGGTGTAGAGTAAGCCATTTGCTTAGGGCTTTAGACCCCCCCCCCTCCCCTTCTGTCAGGGCAAAGTGCTGATCACACCTTCCCTTCATATGCTGAGGTCAAAAAACATTAGCTCTAATTCATCTGCTCAATGGATCGCTAGGTAGGTTTTTTTACTTTAAGACGGTATTTGTATTCTCTCACTAAACACTTTATTTTTTTTAACTTTATCGCAAATACACGTTTTACCGGAAAACTATAGACGAACATGGTTTTAAAAAGTAACAAATGTTCATCTTTAACGTATTGTAAATTGTAAAATCTCGCCTTTAACATATCAGTTTAAATTATGGCTTTAACGTCTATAAAAATATATTAAAAAGAGATAACAAAATCTTGTTACATTCCCTATCGCTAAACGAGGAAGTTAAACAAATCAACCGATAAAAAAGAAACGTTGCTGATATCTTTTTGTTTACACACACGTCTGGAACTTAGGCCTACTTTTCAATCATTTTGTTCTGTTTAATAGCCATTATCAGTTTTCGGCAACGACAAAACTAGTAAGTGCTTTAGATCGTAGTTAACCAAGTTTGTCATTAAAACTCTCATATCACATAATTAAAGATAAAACATGTAATTTGTATTTAAACAGCTTCGAATTATATATTATTGACTATATATATATATATATATATATATATATATATATATATATATATATATATATATATAGAGAGAGAGAGAGAGAGAGAGAGAGAGAGAGAGAGAGAGAGAGAGAGAGAGAGAGAGTGAGAGAGAGAGAAAGAGAGAGAGAGAGAGAGAGATACATACATATATACATACATAGATACATTTTTAAATCGAAAACTTATAAAACGTATTAAAAATGCATGGGGATTTTCAAACAATTATGAAAAAGCATTTTTATAATTTTGATATTCTTTTAGTGTTTGTTTGTTTGTAGAACTATGGTGAAAACTGTAACAACATCTCAGCGATCATAGTTAATATATGACGTCATCATAAAGAGGTGGTGTTGATTAATACAGTGAGGTGAAGTGGTTGGGTGATAATTTAGGAAAAAAGGACAGGTTATTTCTGCCTTCGCGATCTAAACATATGATAACAACACACGCACAATATAATTTAATTTAGAAAACAAAAGTTCTGCCAAAGAGCACACGAAACAACCTCCACACGATCACAAGTCTAGCATTCAACTAACTTAATTGTTCTCTCGGCCTGAACTTAAACCTACGGTAACCCAACCCTTGTCTGACCCACCCTAAGGTAACCCAACCCCTACCTAACACACCCTAAGGTAACCCAACCCTTGTCTGACCCACCCTAAGGTAACCCAACCCTTGCCGACCCACTCTAACGTAACCCAACACTCGTCTGACAGAGCCTAAGGTAACCCAACCCCTGCCTAACCCACCCTAAGGTAACCCAACCCTTGTCTGACCCACCCTAAGGTAACCCAACCCTTGCCGACCTACTCGAACGTAACCCAACCCTCGTCTGACAGAGCCTAAGGTAACCCAACCCCTGCCTAACCCACCCTAAGGTAACCCAACCCCTACCTAACACACCCTAAGGTAACCCAACCCTTGTCAGACCCACCCTAAGGTAACCCAAACCTTGCCGACCCACTCTAACGTAACCCAACCCTCGTCTGACAGAGCCTAAGGTAACCCCACCCCTGCCTGACCCATCCTAAGGTAACCCCACCCCTGTCTAACCCACCCTAAGGTAACCCCAACCCTGCCTTACCCATCCTAAGGTAACCCCACCCCTGCCTGACCCATCCTAAGGTAACCCAACCCCTACCTAACACACCCTAAGGTAACCCAACCCTTGTCTGACCCACCCTAAGGTAACCCAACCCTTGCCGACCCACTCTAACGTAACCCAACCCTCGTCTGACAGAGCCTAAGGTAACCCAACCCCTGCCTGACCCATGCTAAGGTAACCCCACCCCTGCCTGACTCATCCTAAGGTAACCCCACCCCTGCCTGACCCATCCTAAGGTAACACCACCCCTGCCTGACCCATCCTAAGGTAACCCCACCCCTGCCTGACCCATCCTAAGGTAACCCCACCCCTGCCTGACCCATCCTAAGGTAATCCCACCCCTACCTAACACACCCTAAGGTAACCCAACCCTTGTCTGACCCACCCTAAGGTAACCCCACCCCTGCCTGACCCATCCTAAGGTAACCCCACCCCTACCTGACCCAACCTAAGGTAACCCCACCCCTGCCTAACCCACCCTAAGGTAACCCCACCCCTGCCTGACCCATCCTAAGGTAACCCAACCCCTGCCTAACCCACCCTAAGGTAACCCCACCCCTGCCTGACCCATCCTAAGGTAACCCAACCCTTGCCGACCCACTCTAACGTAACCCAACCCTCGTCTGACAGAGCCTAAGGTAACCCAACCCCTGCCTAACCCACCCTAAGGTAACCCCACCCCTGCCTGACCCATCCTAAGGTAACCCCACCCCTGCCTGACCCATCCTAAGGTAACCCAAACCTTGCCGACCCACTCTAACGTAACCCAACCCTCGTCTGACAGAGCCTAAGGTAACCCAACCCCTGCCTGACCCATGCTAAGGTAACCCCACCCCTGCCTGGCCCATCCTAAGGTAACCCCACCCCTGCCTAACCCACCCTAAGGTAACCCCACCCCTGCCTGACCAATCCTAAGGTAACCCCACCCCTGCCTGACCCATCCTAAGGTAACCCCACCCCTGCCTGACCCATCCTAAGGTAACCCCACCCCTGCCTGACCAATCCTATGGTAACCCCACCCCTGCCTGACCCATCCTAAGGTAACCCCACCCCTGCCTGACCCATGCTAAGGTAACCCCACCCCTGCCTGGCCCATCCTAAGGTAACCCCACCCCTGCCTGACCCATCCTAAGGTAACCCCACCCCTGCCTGACCCATCCTAAGGTAACCCCACCCCTGCCTGACCCATCCTAAGGTAACCCCACCCCTGCCTGACCCATCCTAAGGTAACGCCACCCCTGCCTGACCCATGCTAAGGTAACCCCACCCCTGCCTGACCCATCCTAAGGTAACCCACCCCTGCCTGACCCATCCTAAGGTAACCCCACCCCTGCCTGACCCATCCTAAGGTAACCCCACCCCTGCCTGACCCATCCTAAGGTAACCCCACCTCTGCCTGACCCAGACAGTACCACGAGAGGCGAGGCGACTAACCTGTGCATGCATTAACTCGAACTCTTTTTTGATTGAGACAACTACAAGCTATTCAGTCTTTTATCTAGTAAGGGGACGTACAGTCAAACTATTCCTATTACAGCTATTATGATCTATCTAACCTATAATTAAACAATATAATAGTATTGACATAACTACAAAAAAAAATTAAAACGATATTTTATTACAGTTCCTTATCATGTGATAATCCCATTTATTACAGAAACATATTAGCTAATATTCCATAACTATATTTATTTATCTCGAGAGAAAGAGATTGGAAGAGAGATAAAAGAACAAGAGTGATATGTAATATGGTAAATATTAGTTTAAGAATTAAAATGTAGCAATGTAGCAATAGCATATACAATATAATAAATTACAAATTTATTGATAAAAGAACAAAATTGTTATGTATCATAGATTAAAAAACAGTTTACTTAGTTGGTTTTCCGTGCAGAGGTTTACCAAATGCGTTCTTAGGTAATTTGTTTTCAATGTTTATATGTGTTCATTAAGGAGCCCGAAAAATGCCGAGGTACCACCACGCCGTAATTATCTTTGTTCGTAGAAACCTCCCCAGGAGCTTTCTCTACATCTACAAAAGTTATCAATGCAATTTGATGAACGGTGCAGTAATGCATAAAGTACAAATAAATAAACATACTTGAACGTGTATATTTATATAGATATTAATTACAAGAATTTTTAAAATTACATTACACATATTTTGCTTTTATTTCTTTGCAGATTTTCAGGGTTAGATAAAATGATTACACATCTTCTTTACAGAGTGATTCTAGTTTATGGATACATAACACTTGTTTTCACGGGTACATTATATTTTTTTTTAAATTATTTTCTTTTTGAATGTTTGTTTTGAAGTCATCTAAACGCACATTTTTTATGTTTTAAACCATACGCTGTAAACCAAATTTATTATACTATTAATCTGAAATAGTGCAGTATATCACTTTATTTTAATAATATGTCAATTATGGAAACACGTTCAATAGATTTTAAAACATATTTTCTGTTCGTATATATATATATATATATATATATATATATATATTTATATATATATATATATATATATATATATATATATATATATATATATATATATATATATATATATATATATATATATATATATATATATATATATATATATATATATATATAATATATATATATATATAATATGACCTCAGCATATGAAGGGATTTTGTGGTCAGTTTTATATCCAGGATCTTTGCTTTACCTTAAGGTTAGCCAGGAATCCATCAAGGCTGGGTAGACTTACTTACGACTTCCTACAATCACAATTCTGAACCGAGATCCGAACTCGAGAGCTTTGGATTAGTAGCTTCTCGCTTTACCATTCAACCACACTAGCCCAATATATGTACGGATTAAAAATTGAAATCGGTCCCTCCATTTATAAAAATGACTCACTATCAGAAAAAATCCAAAACCTGCAATCGGGGTCAGCAAAGCAGTTTAAGATATTATAGAATATAACGACAAGCCAAGTTCAGAACAAGAAGTTTTATAACGTAACACACTATAGTTGTGAAGTATTCCAATGAGCAATGATGAATAGAAACTCATTACATATCGCAATTACAAACAAAGCAAGAACATAAACCAATTAGTTTTACTGCTTAATTATTTCATTCCTATAATCTTTTGCTAAAATTAGGTGAATGCTTAGACATTAAAAATTACACAATAGTTTTTTTACTTCTTAAGAAGGAAGGTGATGTGATTTTCCTTCGCAGCTTGCTTAGATCCTTGTAAAAATGAATACTGTGTTGAGAGTCAATAAATGGTACACATACGTGTATGTCACCTCTAACTTTTGCTGTGGGAATTTAGCCTCTGATTGTCGTCATTAAATAATAGATAAACATTGCGTCTAATCTTTTACGAAATACATTTAAATATTAAGCCTTAGCAACTCATGTCTATTAAATACAAAATGCATCATCTAAATATTTTAACAATTTTAAAGCAACTAATTAGCATCTAAAAATATGGTTTGGTTTAGATTCGAAATTTCGAAAAAGGAGTATAATTTTCGTCAGTAAAATATGAGTTTAGGATACTCAAGATTATTAATGTTTAGTTACTGTAGTTAAAGTACTACTCAATTTGAAATTAACAGCATGCGACACTGGATGGTTTGGCTCCAGCTGCCAATACAAATGTCACTGTGTCAACAACAGATGTGATGACCAAGGTCTGTGTTTAGCTGGGTCAAGTTGTGAGCGGGGCTGGTTTGGTCCACACTGTCAGTACCGTAAGTCATAATTTAAATTTTAAAATTTTGACTTTTATAAATCTACAAAACATAATATGCACTACTTTTGGGTAAGTATTGTGTATTTTGTTATCATAGTATCAGTTTTTGCTATAACTTATTTTACCCCGAAAACTGTATTTTAATTTGATGAACTGTGTTTTAAAATGCACACACACATGAACATAACAGTCCTGCTACTAGAAGTGAAACTTCATATCTGAGATGTTGTTCATGAGTGTTTAAAATACGGAAATGTAATATGTGTAATGCTTTCTTGGGTAGTTTTTTATTATTGCAGTGCTTTTGTATTAATATGAAGAAATCCCATTTACAATTATGTCATTTTTTAAATGTATTACACAAGTTCTAAATGACAGTATTAATTACCTTTACTTTGCTTAGTACAAGAATGATTTCCCCACCTCATTTGACTATTTAAAGACGGACAATAAATCTTAAAAGTGGTCTGAACGCTCACTTATTTTTCACAATACATTTATATTCAAATCAATGTCATGGTACAATGATAACTGATGCATCAGATTTATTTGATTTTCGTACAACAGGTATTACATTCAATGAGGAAAAAATATTTTGGAATATATTTTTTGTCGGATGTTGAGCCTGCTATACGGCCATCCCTCATCCTCTTAGTCATTTACTGGTTCTAGCGGAATAAAAGTTCTTCCCCATCACGAACCGTTTTCACACATATTGGTAGCAGACAAACTTACAGAAAGACACAGACACACACTCAAGTCTTAGCAAAATCGGTTGTCTTCTTTGAATGCATGCAAATATTTCTAAATTAGATGGGGTATGTAAAACTGAAAATAAAATCCATCATTGAATTACGTGTATGGCGTGGTTTCGAGGGATGGGCTAGCTAATTCCGGAATTCGGAAATAGCGTAGATAAGGCTTGTTAGAAAACTAAGAAGAAACTCAACCAATTGCTGTTAGTATTAGATTTCTTAGTCTATGTAATTGATAATAAATTAGGCCTTAAAACCAAATATATGGAGCTTGTAAATCGTTTTCAAAACTTCGTTCTTTTTTCAAGCACTTTGAAATTGCTGTGATTTAACTATATATTTCACAATATTTATCAGAGGATCTGTCTACTTTAAATGCCACCATTACACCACCAAACAATTTGATAGCAGACGGTGAAGAAAGAACGTGTACAGATCTAAAAAATGTAACATTATCATGGACGATTTCATATTTAATTAATTGGATAAGAATTGTTTTTCGTGATTCAGGTAAAGTAAGCTTGTTTTAAACATACTCTGATTTTTAGGATATTATTTTTTTTAAACTTGTTTTAGTTCAGTAGCTACATACTCATACATGTATTATCTAGTTAATGCTTTTTCTCCTACAATGTTTCTACTCTCAATTTGCTCGTACATTTTAATACCTGGAAGAGGGTGTCTTCATTGCAATCGTGTTATAGAAATATAGAAATGTGTGATTAACAATGTAGAATTGTAAAACGTCAAAATTTGTACACAATTACGGTACATCATTTATTATCGGTATACAATGAAGTTAGAAGATGTAAAACGACGAAAATTATCAAAATAAAAGATCATTGTTTAGCATGATCACAATACTTTTTCCATAACCTAAAAACGAGAAAATAAAAAAGGGACATAGGTATTAACTGAAGACCTTAGTGCTAAAAGTACTTAAGTCACAAAAACATCATTTTGAGAAAAATGAGTTCAAAGATTAAAATTTACTATGAAACATTACGTTTTTATATTATTTGTTTGTTTGGAAGAGCAAATCAAATAAATTCTTCAGTATCACTATTTGTTTATAAGATAAAGTTAAACTAGAGGAATAACGATCAATGCTTGGTTTGATTTTCACAAAAATGTGACTTAAGTACTTTTAGCACTGGGCTCTTCAACTACTTCCGTAGGTCACTCATTTTTTAATATTACTTGTGAAATACAAGAAACCTAAAGTAAGTGCTAAGGAGATATTTTACTTTGCAAAGTCTACATTTTGTATATATATATATATATATATACATGTATATATATATATATATATATATATATATATATATATATATATATATATATATATATATATATATATATGTGTGTGTGTGTGTGTGTGTGTCTTTTATTTCAGGCACACAATTAGATGCTGCGATACAACTTGTCAATGTAAACAATTCGTATTTTCCTTGCTCTATAATTTCTTACAATATGAATGCAGCTACAGCGGACATTCTCTGTAACGTAACGTCATTTGCACATAAGATATTTTTTGAATTTCACACACCAATATCAATCTGCTCGATTTACATTAGCGGAGGTAATTTATTAGTAAAATTGTAAATATTAATTAATGTTCTTTTTTAAGAATAGCTATAAGTTGTTTTGCAAATATAATTTATTATGTGATTTTTTGTTGTTGTTGATAACCAATATTTTCAACGCACTATAATCAATAATATAGCATGTTTAGTTATTACTGTATTTTGTTTATTAACAGAAAAATAGATTTCATTATATTTTGTTAGATTGTTGAGCCTACACACAACTTGCATTCTTCAATCGTTTAACGCGCCATGACAGAGTACATAGCTGATTTACTTTATCAATGAAATGATTATTATGACCTCTTGGAATAGATGTGGTTAACTCGCTATATTTGTAAACAACTTTGAGCTCCATACTCAAAGACAATAGAGCGGTCAGAGTTTCTTGGAATTTATATAGCAAACATTTACTTATACTAGTGCCCGCCTCTCTCCCCCCCCCCCCCGGAAAATGTTAACCGCCCCACCCCTCCCCCCGAAATATCTAGTGCCCCCCCGGAGGAAAAAGTCTGGAAGAAACATTGAGAGCGGGACACTTTTGTATCGTCGTAGCATTCGAACATTTTGTTGTTGATTTAGAAAGTAGTTTACTTTTAAAAAGTTGATTTAGCAGGAAGTCTAGAGTTATTAATCAACCTCTTTATAGTGCTACCCGTATTACGGGATGTGTAACCTTGTTCCAGTTTATATAAGACGAAATACTTAAAATAATTTTAATCTGCAAAATTTATGTTTATAGGTAGAAACGTTGCCCTAAATATGGCAACATGGCAGTCCAGTACCTACGCAGATGCAAACTATGGACCAATATATGTTTCTTCAAAAGCCGTAGATGGGAATTCAAGTGGAGACTTTTATAAAACATTTACTTGTACACATACTGATAATACTCCGACACCGAGTGTTTGGGGCATAACATTTCCACAGCCTATGTTAGTTACCCGATATGTAGTTTATAACAGAGGTAAGTTTGGAATATAATTTTTAGTATTAGTTATTAATCGAAGGCTTTTAAATATAATAACACAAGAGTTTTAAGCTAAGTAATTATATTAAATAATTTTTAGCAATTAACGATTTTACATAACAAAACTGACTTTAGTTCATTTAAAAGCTTTTGTATTATAACACCGCTTCTAGAAATGTTTAATTATATAACTTTTTTAAGTTAAAATATATATGTGAATGGATGCATAAGTGCTAAAATTGTATCCATCAATTTGACAATTTATGTTATTTTTAACTTAGGGGTAGGTCCAAGGTTCTTTCATACACTGATTATTTTATAATAATTATAAACTGTTCTTTAAGATGTGTTATTTTGTATGCTATGAATAGCGGCAGTTGCCTCCACATATGTTAACGATTTTAATTCACAACATAACACATAGATATAATACGCCTGTGTATTTCCATTTTAATCTGTACGCAAAAAATGTTATCTTTCGACAGTTTATTTTAAAAGTGAGCATAAGCTTAAGCAATTACAATGGGAGCTATTTTGTTATTTTTTCCATCTTTGTCAGCGGACGGTAATGAGCAACGATTAAAAGGATTTAACTTGGTGAGCTACAATGTAAACAACATGGTGGTGTTTAACTACACGGATATACAACAGAGTGACAGAGTTTTGGTTTATCATATAACAACAGCTGGGAACGTAGGTGTATCGTACGTCAATATCACAGCCAAACAAGATGAAAACATTTTGACACTATGTGAGGTAGAAGTTTATGGAGGCAAGTTAGACCTTTTTTGTTTAGTTTTCATATCATTATTATCATTTTAAACGTTTCTATTCGTTCATAACAGGTTATCATTTCTCAACATTAATGTAAGCGTAATTAAATATTTCATTGCCATTCATCATTTAAACAAGATAACTGTTCCAAAAACAATAACAGTTATGTACTAACCACTTATATTAAATCAGACAATGTGTGCCAACACAACACATACGGCCTAGGTTGCAGAAACACATGTAAATGTGACCATTGGAAACAGAAATCTTGTTTTGTAGCTACTGGTCAATGTTTTGGTGGATGTGACGCTGGTTACTTCGGTAAAGATTGTAGCAATGGTGAGTGGTTTAGAAAAAATGTTATAACAGTTTAATCCAAATATTTTTTAAATTATTGGGCCATACAAATGTTGTTGTTTTTATTATTTTTTAATAATTTAACATCTGAAGAATTTTAAAAATTTTCCCAATGTTTTTTGCACATAAACAGCCAAACAGAGTAAAAAAACAAATTTGGTTGTTTTGGAAACCCGTAACACATCCGCCATTTTGAATTTTTCGACACTTTTAAAAACGCTAGGGGTTTTTATTTATGCATATAAAGCAATCAAATTAACATTGCTTATATTTTAGAACATATCAAAACGTTTTCACAAAACTTTTTGATAGGGCTACTCGTCTGCATTCTACAAGGTCCTAAAATTGCACTGTACATTTTATTAAATTGTGCATATATTTTTACCAAAAACGCTTTCAATATTGAATTTCATTCTTCACAAAAATTGAAGCATTACATTGATAATAAATATAGAAAACATGATGGGAATTGTATTATGAATAAAAACCTAATAGGTTTTTTTAGTGTCAAAAATCTGCCAATAGAAATAAACCTTAAAAAATAAAAAATAAAAAACCTGAATCAGAAAAACACAATTTCTGTGGGATTTGTATAGACAGTTGAAAGCTTTGGTTGTTTCTGATTTAACGGAAATTAAAATTAACAAATACCGGAGAAATCAAGCCTTCCAATGCCAAACACAATAATATGTCAATCATTTCGTAGCGAACGTGTTATATTGCAAAAATATGATTATGTTATTCACACAAAGACATAAAAGGAATTATTAAACTTTTTAAAAATTATTATTTTACTTCTTACTTTCAGAATAAAGAATTCAGAAACCAAAACCCTTTATAAGGAAAAAACAGAATTTTGGCAATTTTTTTCTTGCGCATATCCCCTTAAAAACAATTATTCCACACTTTTAAAACGTATTTTAAGAAACAGTAATTTTTACAAATTCAGAATGTTTGGCTGGTTTTTATGGAGAGAACTGTTCTATGAACTGCAGTACAAGCTGTAGAAACCAGACGTGCGATAGGTTCAATGGTACCTGCACCAGCTGCATTGACGGGAAAGTTGGTCCTTTATGTGAAACAGGTAGTATATTTCGTCACGGTCATAACACAATCGCCTAAGTCACTTTTGGGGGGTTTTGAGTTAATAGTTGAAATACAATGCTTACACATTACTCCATCCTATGGCAAATTACCCATGTCGTAAGCCAATCAGAAAACTGTTTATTTTAAATTATTGCATTTTTGCCTAAGTCCGTATATTGACTTAGGCGGTTGTATTTTTTATACTTTTCAAAGAGGCAAATGTAAGTCGCCTTTTTGCAAGAAATCGAAGCTCAGAAAATCTAGTGATTTACCAGAAGAAGATAGAGTTATGATGTATATATCCTTTTTAGCAATTGACTGCCTTGAGTGAGAAGAGAAATATAGTTAGACCCGTGTAACCCAAAAAACAAAGAAAAAATTCTGAAACAAACAAACATGCTAACAATTTCTTTTACAAATTTAGACTGCAAAATGGAACTGCATTGCAAGATTGCAAAAAAATGTTTTGTTTCACATTGGGAAAGCCGGAGAGGACAATTTATGATTGGTTAAATGATGGTAAAAAAGATGTCCACCTAGAAGATAACCAAGAAGAGCTTGGAAAGAAAATTCCGTGAGATTTTTTTCTTGAGGTAGCATGTGTGGACTCTCGTCGCTGTCGAAATATGTCAGAGGAAGATAACACACTTATATGAGATTGGTTGCTTGAGGTACAATGTTGGACTCTCATTATTACCGAAAAGTTCCTGCCTATTAGGAAAAAAAAAGATTTCTTGAACCAGGCCTGAAAATAATTGATTTCTATAATCTATATAAAGCACCTGTAACCTCTTTTAAAAGAAGAGTAGCTGGGTTTACATACTTTAAAAATACCTTTCTATGCCTTAATATGTCAATTTTTGTTCCCCGCAAACACGAATGTGACATATGTATTGCTGTACAAATGGGAAATATTACTGCAGATGAAGATCAGATTCATCTAGTTTTGAGGGACAATGCTCGAAATCAAGAACACCAAGATAAAGAAAGAGGATGGTTGAATGAAAGTGTCTGAGTTTAGTCCATGGGCACTCAATCAGATTTGTATTAAATATATTAGATTCTAATAATACAGTGTCGTTGAGAAACATCGTAATCAATGCATTTAGTCCTAGAGATTTAGGGGAACAGGGCATCCCCCTACCGTCAGTTACATACCCCCAAACACTCTCCCCCCTCCGACATTACCCCCGGAGTAATTACCCCCTTTCAATTACCCCCGCCCAGTAATACATTACCCCCCTGTCATAGCTTAGCTTAAGGTACAGCTAGGACTAGGACTAAGGCTAGGGTTAGGGTTAGAGGTAGGGTTAGGGTTAGGGCTAAGGTTCGGGCTAGGTATAAGGTTAGGGCTAGGGCTAAGGTGAGGGCTAGGATTAGGGCTAGGGCTAGGGCTAGGACTAAGGCTAAGGTTAGGGCTAAGGTTAGGACTAGGGTTAGGGCTAGGGTTAGGGCTAAGGCTAGTGTTAGGTTTAGGGTTACATCTACGGTTAGGGTTAGTGCTGGGGTTAAGACTAGTGTGGAGGTTAGTGTTGGGGCTAGGATTAGGCTTAAACTTATTTCTACAGTTGGGGTTGGATTTAGATTAAGGTGAGTGCTTAGGTTTAGGCTTTTGCTTAAGGTTTGGTTTTAGGTAAGATTAAGTCTATAGTTAGGGTTAGGTTTGAGGTTTGGTTTAGTGTTAGCTTAAATTATAGGGTGAATTTAGGGGTTAGGTTTAGGATCAAGTCTCTCTAGCTTGGGGGACGGGGGGTAATCACAGAGGGGAAGAATATCATAGATCAGAGCTTTAGTGATGATGATGCAAACTGATAAGCAAAACCCAAATCCATGCGTTTTAAAGCAACTGGAATTTAGTGTCTTTAAAAAGCTTTCAGAAACAGCATTAGACCAGGTAAAAAAATTGGTGATCCCACAGTGACCAATGTTAGTATGCTTTGGTATCACCCTGATGGTACTCTCGAATACGAACTTTTTGGAGATTCTTGTGACTGGAAAGCTTTGCCTACTTGTATAAAAAACATACTGAAACCTGTGTAATGGCTCCCCATGTACATAAACAGTAGACTGATAAGCAAAGAAAGTTTGATGATCTTTAAAGTATGAAGACTGTTTTGCCTTAAGATGATCATGCATATTATGACGCCATTTTATTTGAATAAACCTTGCATTTTTTAATTATATACTAGAATACCCGTCATCCGTTGGATAACTGTGGGTTTCGGGGGTCATCCATAAAAAAACATCACGTCTGTCACTCAGAGGCATAGCGACCCTTCCCGGCGCCCGGGGACAAACTTTTCGATATTAACCCCCCCCCCCCAAGATTTCGATTTTCAACCCCCCCCCCTCAAACTTTTGATGTGCACCCCCCCCCCCCACTCAAACTTTCGATTTGAACCCCCCTCAACCTTTCAATTTATTTTTCCAAACCATTTTGGCGCCCCAACATATGTCCCCCCCCCCCTTCCCCCTCCACCTCCCCTTCCCCCCCCCGCCTCCCCTCCCGCCCCTCCCCCACCTCGCTACGCTACTGCAGTGTCACTTATCGTCACAAAAAACAGACCCCACATTCAAAAATATGTTTCTTATCTTTTAAAAACACCGAAAACACCGATTTCGGACTATCCCTTCATATACTGACGTCACATGTGACCTACTCAACTCTACTTCACCTGCCCAGTGTCCCGCCAAGTCTCAGACAACATGTTTTTATCGTTTAAAAAACGATTCCAGCCGAGCATGTCTTTGACCACACTATCCTTTCATATGCTTAGGACAAAGAAACAGATGAACTCTACTTCACCTGCCCTGTATCCTGCCAAGTTCAGATAGGCAGCTTTATCATTCACATCTAAAAAAAAAATTGAAAAAAAATACCATTGACATATTGGTCTAGAACCTGTGCCACCCACATAAGAGCGGGCTACACTACCAACTTAGCTATTTACTCGTGACGTCACAAATGAATTTTTATACTATACTTTTGAGTCTGCGCGCATAGATCTAGATCTAAGTCTAGTAGTAGTAACTTTCAAATTAAATTTAATCTTAAATTAGCCAAACAAAGATTTATATAAAATAATTAAGGCCTGAAATAGATTCTAGATGTATTAAGGCCTGAAATAGATTCTAGATGTAGAATTTACATTAAGTCTAGATCTAGAATTTACATTGAGTCTAGTAGTGACCTAGATCTAGGCTAGATCTAGGCTAGCTTCATAACTTTCCTTCGACAGCTGATCTTTAGATCTAGAGAAATTTATCGTAAAACTAAATGAAAAAGACAGTTGAAAATTGATATAAGTGTTGGAACGTAATAAATACAGCAAACGGACGTATTGTTTAAGTTATAGCCGGCAGAAAATTAGCTTTGTAACGCGTTAAACTTTTGAATGGGCCACAAAGTCTATGATGGAGTCCGCCATTTTTATTGTACCAAAAAGTAAACACATCAAGGGACGTCACTATCCCCACAAAGTTTATTCAATGTATTAACATTTTTAAAAAAATACGGTTAATTTACCTATGAATAAATCAATAAATTAATTAACGTCTTTAAAAAAATTTGTGATTAACAGTCTGTCTTAAAACAAAATTTTTTCTTTACCTACATACTATTTTACAGCTTTCCACGATGAGTGCAACCATGCGAGATAGTCGATCAGGCAAACAAACAAACAAACAAAAAAACAAAAAAATAAATATTCAAACATGTAAACAAACTTGACTTTTAGTAGTATACTAGACTACCCGTCATCCCTTGGATAACTGTGGGTTTCGGGGGTCATCCATCAAAAAACATCACGTCTGTCACTCAGATGCATAGCGACCCTTCTCGGCGCCCGGGGACAAACTTTTCGATTTGAACCCCCCCCCCCGCAAGATTTCGATTTGCAACCCCCCCCCCCCCTCAAACTTTTGATGTGCACCCCCCCCCCCCCACTCAAACTTTCGATTTGCACCCCCCTCAACCTTTCAATTTATTTTTCCAACCCATTTTGGCGCCCCCTAAGGTCGGCGCCCGGGGACATATGTCCCCCACCCGCCCCCCCCCCCTCCTCGCTACGCTACTGCAGTGTCACTTATCGTCACAAAAAACAGACCCCACATTCAAAAAGATGTTTTTTATCATTTAAAAACACCGAAAACACCGATTTCGGACTATCCCTTCATATACTGACGTCACAGGTGACCTACTCAACTCTACTTCACCTGCCCAGTGTCCCGCCAAGTCTCAGACAACATGTTTTTATCGTTTAAAAAACGATTCCAGCCGAGCATGTCTCTGACCACACTATCCCTTCATATGCTTAGGACAAAGAAACAGATGAACCCTGCTTCACCTGCCCTGTGCCCCGCGAGTTCCTGATAGTCAACCTTATCATTCACATATAGGGCTTAAGAAAAAATAATTGAAAACGTAAAAAAAAAAGTTCTATTAATTTTTATGACACTGACTTTAAAATTTAGCCTTCACTCTCCAAAGCAAATTTTAAAATGCTTTTCTGGCATATCTAGCCCTGGCCACCTATACCATGTTTAAATAATGTGAACACCCGCCATCTTGCTCGTGGTAAACATGGCCTAAAAATGGTCCGAAGTCATTCGTCCGGTCCGGACGCCATATTGTTGTTAGCAGCCGACCACGCCTCCAAGTTAGTTAGTAATCCTACTATATCTAGATATAGAACCTAGATTTTAAAAAATCCCATTTATTCTCGAATTAGATGATCATTGAAGCTAAACAAAGATTTATATAAAATAATTAAGGCCTGAAATAGATTCTAGATGTAGAATTTACATTAAGTCTAGATCTAGAATGTACATTGAGTCTAGTGACCTAGATCTAGGCTAGATCTAGATTCTGGTCTAGAATCTAGGCTAGATTCATAACTTTCCTTCAACAGCTGATCTTTAGATCTAGATCTAGAGAAATTTATTGTAAAACTAATGAAAAAAGACAGTTTAAAATTGATATAAGTGTTGGAACGTAATAAATACAGCAAACGGACGTATTGTTTAAGTTATAGCCGGCAGAAAATTAGCTTTGTAACGCGTTAAACTTTTGAATGGGCCACAAAGTCTATGATGGAGTCCGCCATTTTTATTGTACCAAAAAAGTAAACACATCAAGGGACGTCACTATTCCCACAAAGTTTAGTCAATGTTTTAACATTTTCTTGGACAGATTGTAGATCTAGAGAAATTTATCGTAAAACTAAATGAAAAAAGACAGTTTAAAATTGATATAAGTGTTGGAACGTAATAAATACAGCAAACGGACGTATTGTTAAAGTTATGACCGACAGAAAATTAGATTTAGAACGCGTTAAACTTTTGAATGGGAACACAATTTTCTTCGATAGACGCCGCCATTTTATTGTACTAAAGAGTAAACAAAAACCTGTGACGTCACGGTCCCGCCGAGTGTAGTGGTCGTTTTAATCTTTTTAAAAAAAATGGGTTACTCTGCCTATGAATAAATCAATAAATTAATTAACGTCTTTAAATAAATTTGTGATTAACAGTCTGTCTTAAAACAAAAAATTTTCTCTACCTACATACTATTTTACAGCTTTCCACGATGAGTGCAACCATGAGCAATAGTCGATCAGGCAAACAAACAAACAAATAAATATTCAAACATGTAAACAAACTTGACTTTTAGTAGTATATAGATAGATATATATATTAGATACTAATAATGCTATTAAAATTAAAGCTGTAAGGCTATTCACATGGTGTATCTATCTAGTATTACTTGTATTATCAAGAAATATTATTGCCTTTATCAAAATAAAAATTATTTTTATCAGCCAAATCATTTGCCTAAGTCATTTATTTATGATATCTTTTGCCTATGTCCTACTACGTATCTATATTAATTAACAACGTTTTTTTTTCTTATTAGACACTTCTAATAATACCAGCATGTTACAAAATGTACCATAGTGACATAGTAGAAGTAATAATAAAGTTATTCAGTTTTTTCAGTTTTTTCAAAACATGAAAAAAATGACTTGCACGTTTGTGTTATGACCGTGACGATTTATAGAATTTTTACTGTGTTGATTTATCTAGTATTTAAAAAATCGTTACGTTTAAGAGATAAAAAATGGATTTTGCAAACTCTCCAAAAAAAATAATAAAATCAATCGGCCTATATAAAGTAACATGCGTTGGTGAAAATGATGCTGCCACGAATCTGGTAGGAAAATAAGTTGCAATGCACTACGGATTTGAAATTCAAAGATTCTTCAAATTTAAAAAAGGTTTAAAAACGTTTATCCTGATTCACAACAAAATAATGCATTTCACTATTTTTCTCTAAAATAATTATTAAAAGCATAATTATCAAGACCGCTGACATCAAAACCATAGTCCATAAAAGTCAGACACGAAACAATTGAATATCTTACTGTAATCAAACGTAGTCGAAACCTCCAACACTAGTTGGATGGGTCTTTCTGTCTTTATATATCAACAACTCTCCTATCTGAAATATGTAATGATTTAAACAAGTTCTATCTTATTATAAAACTAATGTGTGTATCCACAGATTGTAACGATAAATTTTACGGAGAAAACTGCCGACACCAATGCAGTATAAACTGTACAGACCAGCTTTGTGAAAAAGAAAATGGGAACTGTTTTAGATGCATATCAGGTCAAATAGGCGAATATTGCCAAATAGGTATTACATGTTAACTCAATGTCATAAATATCAGTTCTTTGATGGGCACAACGGAGAAAGAGATAACGAGAAGCGCAAAAGAAACACGTATAAGTTTATTTAGGTCTGAGTTAAAATGAGAGATGCTATTATTCTGAGGGGTCGTCCATAAATAACGGCACACTCGTAGGGGGATGGGGGGTCCGTAATTTTGTGACGGTGTCTGATGAGGGGGAGGGGGGTCAGATGGTGCGACGCCATACTTTAGCATTATAAAAAAAAAGCAATGTTAGAAAACATAATTTTTGTCGTTATTTCGTGTTTTAGAAAACTGTTTTAATAAATTACAATAGGAATTGATTAAAATATTATATTTCGACAGAGTTCAGACAAGATTTTTGAAAAATATCGATGTTTTAAGAAAAATGCAACTGCAATTTTAAGGGGGTTGTAGGCTGAGATGTGACGTTATTTAAGTGGCAGGGTCTGGCTTTTCGTGATGATGTGTGACGGGGGGGGGGGGGGGGGGTAGGTAAAAATCGTCCAAAAGGCGTGACGTCATTTATGGATGACTCCTAACTGGCAGTGGCTACAGATTGAGACTAGGAAAGTTTGGTGTGAGACAATTGAAATTGCGAGATGAGTGTGATGATGTTTGATTGCGATCTATTTTGTAATAACTAGCTGGTTACATCGAGCGTTGAATTTAAGAAGACTATTGAGACTTTTGTAGCTAAATAAATATTGCATTTAAAATATAGTTTTATAAAAAAAATATTAGAAACTACTGTAGTAAGTCGTTTGTATGCAATTAAAAATGTTAACGATATTTTACTCAAATGTATTCTTAACAGTCGATTTAATTTGCACTTGTATAATAAAACACTTTTTGGTAAAAGCATAAACAATTTTTTTACGTAGCATGTGACACCAATCACTACGGACCAAACTGTGTAAACAACTGCTCATCCAACTGTAACAATTCAGCGTGTGAGGCAACTACTGGTCGGTGCTTTACGTGTGTAACAGGCTATCGAGGGAACCATTGTGAAATAGGTTAGATGATTATTTGTAGATTTTATATATAGAAGTATTGTAGCTATCAGTTAGGTTCTATGCATAATACTTAATATGAATATTATTTATACATATCTGTAGTTAAAATTTAGTTGAACTCAAAACCTAGTCTTAGACAAAAAACAATCTTAACATCCACGACTGCGATTCAACCATCGCAGTTTTTTGAAAATATTGCTGATGTATAACATTAACAAGTTAACAATAACAGACTTACTTTAAGAGACAATCCATTAATAACAATGTACTCTGTGTATATGTTTCAGCATGTCCGACCGGATACTATGGAGACAACTGTCAGTGCACAGAAAGTGGACAACATAAGGATAGCACTGGTACATGTGACGTTATACTTGTACTTGTTTTAAATATGTTGGACACAACAAATTTTGTTGTAAATATTGTGTAATGATAAAATAGCGCTCTCGTCCCGGGCGTCGTTGTAGGCTGACGCAATATTTAATCAATGCGTTGCCAATAGCGCATTTTTAGACGCGAGATCATGTTTTCTAAATCTGAGTTATTTAAGTGTGAAAAGCGACGGCGTCATTCTGGATCTTACATGTTGGTGTGCGTCACACTAAAATCCAGACGCCACTGAGCCGGTAGTATGAACACTTTAAGTTTAGTTTAATCCCTCTCCGTAAATGTGAGATACAGCACTAAATATGATCATGTCGAGACACCGCCACTTTGAAATTTAGATATTTTGTTTTTCGCAGACTTTTTTCTCCGGGGTAGGGAGGGGGTGGGGAGGGGGGGCACTTGAAATTTTTCGGGGGGGGGAGGGGCACTTGAAATTTTCGGGGGGGGGGGGGGGGCGGCGGGGTGGACTTAAATTTCCGAGGGGGGTGAGGACATTGATAAAAGTATATATTCTCAATATAACTTCCATTTCGTTCAGGGGGGGGGGGGGGGAGGCGGTAGATTCTCTTCGGGGGGGGGGGGGGGGGAGGGTCTGAGCACCCCGAAGAGATGTCTGGAAGAAACATTACGACAACTTACCAAAGTTTCACGGCGATCGGATGAAGTTGTGATAACGTATAATGGACACAGAGACCCACATTCTTTCAATAATCTTGTAATTGTTTTAGCAAAAACGAAGATAATATAATTATTTATTTAAAATATTGCACGAAACAATACATTATCAAAATAATCATAAGGAAATTAAGTCGAGATTTATTTTTATTTTTTTAAAGCACAAGACAGATTGGCAGAAGGTGTCGGCATTGGGATTGGAATCATGTGTGTCGTGAATGTCATAATTGTGCTCATGGTCTGCATTTTTGTTAAAACAAAGCGTTCAGTGACAAGTAAAACAAACAGTGGAAACAAAACAAACAAAGAGAGTGAAACACAGGACAATAACATTAGTAAGTTCAATAATGACACCAATTTTCATAAACTTTGCATGCCAAGTTTTAAGAGACACCGACATGTAATAGACAAATTACATCTTGTTATTTCACTTTCAAATGTCTTTGAATACAGGTATTCATCCCGATTACACTGATCTGAGTTCTGCATCAGCAGTGGCTGATACAAACCATTATGATTACATCAACGGAAACATGGGGCCTTACGACACTTTGAACAACGATTTTAAGGAGACATCTCAGTATGAGGCCGTTTCTATGGCAACTTTAAAAAACAGAAAATAGATAAATTAGATTTTTGAATGGAAATATCTGATCGTCTGCTGGGTGAATAATCCATAGCTCTCTGATAGATACCTACACTGAGGCAGAAATCCATATTTGGCTATCAATCAGTCACAAATTGAACTAATTATTTTTCACAAAAGACGAATATGCTTTTTTTTTTTAATTTTTTTTTTTAAACTTACTTTGTTGAAAACGTTACTGTATGAATGATAGAGTATTACGTGCACACGTGTTTCTATGTTTACTTTTTAATTTGTATATCAATAAACCTTTTAAATTTTGGAAACCTATTTTGTTTATTTCTATTTCAACACTAGCTCTGTACTGTATAGACATTATTTAATTGATTTCTAATCAATAATTCTTTATTAGCGGACTACTATCTTACTTCTATTATAGGTCTACCTCTATGTTACCATTATCTCATCACAATTTCGTTCTATTTTGGTATAATATCACCACTACTTCACCAATTTGTCACCAGTACATATCGCGTATCTAAGCATCACGGTTCGTACTGTCCCGGTTTAAATTGATCGTATCTCAGCACCACCTAACAACCAACAACAATGAATGATACCTGAGAATTGATTTTTTTCCAAGTGCGTACCAAGGCAGGTGAATAAAGAGATCAATGGTTGTCCGGGTAACGTAATCCATCCTTCTATATTGTCGTTTCGGGAACGGTATGCATACAATACGGCACTAAACTGATACTTATTATTTTACCATAAATACATCAATAAATAATTAATTCTAGTCACAACTATTGTTACCAAAGCTTTCTATATGATTAAATATACGTTTTTAAGCTAAAATATGAAAGACAACAAAAAATCAATGGTGTAAAATGTGTCCACGTTCTTTGAACCGGAGATGTGTTGTTGGTGTATAAGTAAAGTGAAATAGGCTTGGGATGTGTTTACCTCTTAAAGTTCATGAACTGACGATACACATTAAACATACCTTCGTTTATGAACCAGTATTGGAATTACCGAGTCAAATATCTTACGAAATATGGAGCGGGCAGGCAGAGGCGTAGCAACTGAGGGGGGGGGGGGGGGGGGGGGGGGGGGGTACATATGTTCCCGGTCTCCGACCCTATGGGCGCCAAAATGGGTTGGAAAAAAATTGAAAGCTCATTTTAACTGCAGTTTTGAATCATAAATATAATATATATATATATATATATATATGTATGTATGTATGTATGTATATATATATATATATATATATATATATATATATATATATATAGGGGGGTGTGGGGCCAAATTTGTCCCCGGGCGCCGGGAGGGGTCGATACGCCTCTTTGGGCAGGACAGGGCGGGGAAAAAATGGGAGTGGTATAGCCGTTTAGAGATCGAATTCAAAGTTGAAGTGTGTATTTTTACAAAATACTATAACTATGTTTGGACTTCTCTTTATTTTTATCTTTCATATTGTATCTCTGCCTTAATTTCGGATTTTCTGTGTACGCATAATAAATCTACCTAATTACGGGATCCGAGCTTGAAACTTGAGGGCTAGTCGCCGCTACTTCAAACCATAAGAATATGTATAGTTCAGTTTATTTATAGGGGAAAAATGTACAGTCTGTAAACACCTCATATGTTGATCGCGAAAAAAGACATCACATAAGTGCAGGTTCAGTTCCTTACATCAGCTCTATTTCTTGGCTTGTATTTTATTTACCACTGTTTACTGTTTTAACGGCGACTTTAGAAATTAAATAGCCTAAGCCCAAAAGAATAGCACTCTTCGTGTACAGAGTTTCTTCCAGGCATCTCTTCGGGGGAGGGGACTTCGCCGAAAAAATTCTACCCCCCCCCGGAACAATTTATATAGAAAATATATACTTTTAACAGTGTCCCCCCCCCAAGAAAGTCTACTCCCGCCCCCCCCCCCCCCCCCCCGAAAATTTCAAGTGCCCCTCCGGAAAAAAAAAGTCTGGAAGAAACACTGTTCGTGTACCCCAACAGCTATCTAACGTCTCAGATAAGCGCGATTCTAGGCCAGTGGTTCTTATCCTTTTTGGAGGTACTGAACCCCACCAGTTTAATATTCGCATTCACCGAACTGTTCTATCGTCGTCATTGACAAACTCCAATCGTAAATCATATGATTCGCATGTGTCTTGACCTTCGAGAAATTCCTGAAACTTACAGAACTTCTAGGGCTCGATGGAACTTATTTTATGAACTATTGCTTTAAGCATCCAGATAAACTGTCGAAATCTAACAAACCGCACTTTAAAATCGAATACATCCTGTAACTTATATTTCCGTAACTTTATTTCTCCTTATACACGCGTTTTTACCTTAAGCATTTTGAATGTGTATACATTTTAAACAGATCTAAATTTAAAGTCTACAAGTGTGGCAACATTAGTACAATCAGCTCATGTTTGGATTTATATAACCGACAGCCCACAACTACGTCATAATATTTATTCTTTATTTACTAAACATTAGTATACTATTTTAGTGAATTATGATACATTAGTAGTATATTAGGTCCCTTTTGGGTATCATTTTTGGCGGAGGAGCGCAGGGTGAGGAGCAATGACATATAGTAAAATACTCGGGAGGAGCGGAGGTGGAGGGCGCAAAGACATATAGTAAAATACTCCCAGCCTGGCGCATCGGGAGGGTAAGGGTGGGTGAGGAGCGAAGGGTGGAGGGCGCAAAGACATATAGTAAAATATTACGCCAACTGGTGTTGGCGGAGGAGTGAAGGGTGAGTCACCTTTTGGTGACCTTGTGACGTAATCATTGACCTTGTGACGTAATTAGTGACCTTGTGACGTCATCACTGACCTAGTTACGTAATTTTAATGCGTTTTTAATTAGTTTTAATGAGTTTTTAAAATTTTAATTAATTTTTATTAACGAGTTACGTAATTTGATTATTTGTTTACTTTTTTAATTGTTTAATTTGTTGTTTACTTGTTGTTTAATTTAATTACTTTGTTTATATTGTGTAATTTTTATTAACGAGTTACGTAATTTGATTATTTGTTTACTTTTTAATTAATTTTATTTTGTTTATTTTTAATTTTATTTTATTTTATAATTAGTTAAATTATTATTAACTAGTTACGTAATTTGATTTTAATTACTTTTGTTTATTTATTTATTTGTTGGTTTGTTTATTTGATTGTATGTATGTTTAATAGTAAACGGATAGGGGTGTTGGTGGATGAGAGGGGGAGTAATGATGGGGTTTGAGGGTAGGGGTGCGTTAGCGTGTACTTTGTGAATAACATCCATTAACCAGACATGTAACAGATGTTACGTATTGATCGCACCCACTGGGCCATCACAGCATGATGTCCCACCTAATTAATTTTTTGTTATGCTTCACCGAGTTTCCCCCGAGCGGTTTGATAAGTCATGATGATTAACGACGTACATTAAGTGCCTCTCCGCGTTAAGTGTGGGAACATCTGTTACCACTTTAATTGATTTTTTCCCCTGGTTGGGTCCCGTGCTTTCCACTAACAGTTATACAGTGTCATGGGTTTTTAAGTTTCTGGTACGATTATGTTAAACGTATACACATTCACACAAGCACAGAAACTCACTTTCTTACTTTTATATTAAAAGACAAGTATGTGTTATTGTTTTGTTACTTGTCCCTGAAAGTTATGTAACTCGGTATCCTGTATAAGATTTTTGTGCAACATGTGTTACTTATCGATCTGCAATCCTTTTGTTTTTGTCAACCTTCTCCACCTTCACCCACCTTTCACCCTTTACCCACCTGTTCACACCGTCACCCGTCTGCTTACACCCCTCACCCATGTTACTATAAGCGAGTATGTATTGAACATTTGTTAATATTTCCCCCTTCACCCACCTGTTCACACCGTCACCCGCCTGCTTACACCCCTCACCCATGTTACTATAAGCGACTATGTATTGAACATTTGTTAAATTTATCTGGCTCAGGGTGGTCAAATGGTGGTCAGATCAAAAGAAAATCGGAACGGTCATAAAAAACTTAATTACTTTTCCAGACTTGTAAAAACATGTCTACCCCCGCATACCTTACGTACCAACGCACTAAGTCGCCCCTGTCGCCCATTAAAAAGCACGAACCTACGGAGACCTCGTTTCGTCTCAAAACCTGATTTAACGGTGGTTGAAAGAAAATTCCGACCCTTAAATATATTTTGTTTTCGTTGACCCTCGCTATAAGCGAATAGTTACAACCATTAATCTTTCATACATAGCAAGGGACGGTTCGTAGGACATGTGGAAACAAAAAAAAAATTAATTTGATCAAAGAATGACCGGGCGTACGATATGTGAACATAGTTCATGGACAGCTGTAATCTAATGAAAAAAGCCGAGAGCCGTGACTAATTACACCACCAGCTGTTACCTAAGGGCTTCACGGAGCTGACAAATCGATCGGTTTTCGCTGACCTCGCTATAAGCGAATAGTTACCGATGTCGCTACACTTAACGCGGAGAGGCACTTAATGTACGTCGTTAATCATCATGACCTATCAAACCGAGTGGGGAAAAATCACTGATGCATAACAAAAATTTAATTAGGTGTGATGGCCCCGTGGGTGCGATCAATATTAGCTCGCCCGTTGTTTGACAAAAACAAAAGGATTGCAGATCGATAAGTAACACATGTTGCACAAAAATCTTATACAGGATACCGAGTTACATAACTTTCAGGGACAAGTAACAAAACAATAACACATACTTGTCTTTTAATATAAAAGTAAGAAAGTGAGTTTCTGTGCTTGTGTGAATGTGTATACGTTTAACATAATCGTACCAGAAACTTAAAAACCCATGACACTGTATAACTGTTAGTGGAAAGCACGGGACCCAACCAGGGGAAAAAAATCAATTAAAGTGGTAACAGATGTTCCCACACTTAACGCGGAGAGGCACTTAATGTACGTCGTTAATCATCATGACCTATCAAACCGCTCGGGGGAAACTCGGTGAAGCATAACAAAAAATTAATTAGGTGGGACATCATGCTGTGATGGCCCAGTGGGTGCGATCAATACGTAACATCTGTTACATGTCTGGTTAATGGATGTTATTCACAAAGTACACGCTAACGCACCCCTACCCTCAAACCCCATCATTACTCCCCCTCTCATCCACCAACACCCCTATCCGTTTACTATTAAACATACATACAATCAAATAAACAAACCAACAAATAAATAAATAAACAAAAGTAATTAAAATCAAATTACGTAACTAGTTAATAATAATTTAACTAATTATAAAATAAAATAAAATTAAAAATAAACAAAATAAAATTAATTAAAAAGTAAACAAATAATCAAATTACGTAACTCGTTAATAAAAATTACACAATATAAACAAAGTAATTAAATTAAACAACAAGTAAACAACAAATTAAACAATTAAAAAAGTAAACAAATAATCAAATTACGTAACTCGTTAATAAAAATTAATTAAAATTTTAAAAACTCATTAAAACTAATTAAAAACGCATTAAAATTACGTAACTAGGTCAGTGATGACGTCACAAGGTCACTAATTACGTCACAAGGTCAATGATTACGTCACAAGGTCACCAAAAGGTGACTCACCCTTCACTCCTCCGCCAACACCAGTTGGCGTAATATTTTACTATATGTCTTTGCGCCCTCCACCCTTCGCTCCTCACCCACCCTTACCCTCCCGATGCGCCAGGCTGGGAGTATTTTACTATATGTCTTTGCGCCCTCCACCTCCGCTCCTCCCGAGTATTTTACTATATGTCATTGCTCCTCACCCTGCGCTCCTCCGCCAAAAATGATACCCAAAAGGGACCTAATATACTACTTACATTAGAAATTAAATATGTTGAAGTAATGAAAACAGTATCACTGTTTACAATATTTTAGAAAGATAACAGACGGAGTAGGCCTACATGTAAGTAGAGTGTGTTTGTTTTAGAGCAGGAAGTAAATACCAGCGACCTAAATACAAAAAGATATATTACGATATTGTCGTAAGATAATAAATTTTACCTTGTCGGCTAAGTCACGCTCTTAAACGCCCGCAAGAATAGATCCCCGCATAAGATATTTTCTAAGTTATGTTGAAATAAAGTGTTGTTGAGTAATAACATAGGAAGATCGCAGTCACATTCATTCAAATAGATGAATATGGGGGAGTTGGTGTTTTCAGCTGCGAAGATTTTGGACACAAATGAAATTCTTGTGTTGTACGACATCGAGTCTCTGTACATGCTGGATGGTTAGATAACTCTAGTAAAGGGACGTAAATTGTTGCTGAGATTTGCGCTGTTTATGGCGCATGTCTTCCTGCTTATTTATATATGTTCCAGTTAACACGTAAGGGGTTTAACAATCTGGCTTTGCTAACCGGATTTTTTATCTCAGATAAATAAAAAAAATAATCGTATTTATGTCAATAGCTTATACCAGAGATTCTGTAAAATTAAAATTAATATTTAACATAATTTGCATTATTTAGAATGCTTTCTTATTTGTAAAAAACATAGATAATTCCAATTTTAGTGTGAAATTATTGAAAAAAAGGCTAGGCTTAAAAAATACTAAAATAGTATTAAGTCTCAATAAAAAAATAACAACACAACAACTCGTAATGGATAGACGCTGAATCGCACACACATTTTTTGATAGTAATGTGCGAATAAACATAATTAAAAAGTCATTACTTAAGTATGTTTTATAAACATTTGTTAAATTCGTAATAATTATAGTAGGCCTATTTACAGATTTTAAACTATTTCAAAAAGTGCTTATCTACTCTTCGCTGACGAAAGTGTTACCATACTGTTAAAACAACGTGTCAGTCAGTATTTGATAGCTAACCAGACGTGTACTGGTTATCAGGAACCTCAGGTCGTTTTTTGGTCTACTTTGATCAGTTCAACTTTAACAAGACATCACTTGCTTTCTGTTAATACAATACGGATAAGTTATTCCGATTTTATTTCTGTGGACTTTTTAATCGAAAAAAAAAACATAATACAAATACAAACATTTAACAAAACATTGTAAGGAAGGTAGGTATTCTTTGAATTCAGTTGTTCATTCTCATGTGAAATTCAATTGTTTAATTACTATATATTTTATGATTCAATTTAGTGAACTTGGTGTTGCTCAGTGATGATGAGTTTTAGAGTTGATATGTGCATGTTCAAAATATAAGTTGCATATTATTGCTCTATATGCTTTTTCGTCGTCTCATAAGAAACTTGTTTATTCCTGTTATTTTAAACGTCATCTAAACCTCCATCCCGCTCGCGGTAAATAGGTTTCCTAATGCATTTTAACTATCTCAATACTGCTTTTGATTTAAGAGAACATGGGCTTTAAACTTCCTAATTAGCTGTCTATATTATTTAGTATTAGTGTAGAGCTTTGATGAATATTTTTAAATGGGTTACGTTTAACGTTTCTCGAAATGTATGTTTTAAAAATAATAATCTTATTCTATTAAAAGATCTTGTAATTCCTAATCGATAAATATGAAATTATTTTTACAATGCTAGTGAGATAATAGTTAAAAACTATGTAAACCAATAGTAAAGCAAATCATTATCTCGAAAGTTTCATCGTTTCAATTCTTTATAAAGTGGCTATTTGATTGATATTTTTTTAAAAAAGAACTAAAGCGACAAAACTTAGAAATAATTATATTTTAGCTGTTCACTCACATGTACTCGATTGAGTATAATAATATAATAAATTAGGCCTACTACTTAAGTTTCGTGTTACAATATTATTTGCCATTAAGCAAATGCAGGCTAGGCCGTTGCTAAATTTACTTAAAGTGGTTTCTATAGAATGTATCAATGCAATATTGGAATTCTATATTTATTTGAACCAAGGTAGGGTATAAATACACTAGCGCACCCGTCAGAAGTAGTGCTGACGCAATATTAATGAGAAATTCATCAATGCGTTGCCAATTGTGTATTTTGGGAGTTGATTAGAACACTCCAGGGAAGGGTTCTGTAAAAAAAATCTTTTTTTTTTTAATTTCGCAAGGGCGGTGCCGCGGAATGGTGGGATTGTTCTCTATATACGTTATATAAAAATAAAAGACGATTGCGGTTCGACACAGTTTATCCCGGTGCCATAAAACTTTAGGGAGTTTATGAATACTCCCGAGAAGGTTTCTGTGGTGGGAGGGCGGAATAGGGGTTATTTGGTGGTGGGTATTTAATTTTGCATTGACGACCCCGGCAGGATGCGATTTTGCGCCCTGGTCTTTCCCGTGAGCGCTATGGTGACTACGTTCTGTCTAAACAGTGTGATAGACAATGAATATGATGGCGCGTTACAAATGCTGACTAAATTGAATCAGGCGTGTCCTCTGTCGCCCTGGTAGGGTGCGATTAGGCTGCAAATAAAAATGTCTGTTTCGGCCCCCAAAGGCTCACATGGGCCGCTGAGGGCCATGTAATACGTTTTATTTTAATAATCAGAAAAATTTACCAAGGTTAGATTATAAACTGGGATGTTTCTTTTTGTCCGTAAAAAAATCCAAACAGTGTAGTCACTTTGCGAATGATGCAATTAGCATCTATTTTTAAATAATCCAATCAGAAATTAAGATCGAGGATATAAGAATAGACCATTAGTAACGCTAACAATTTGCATCAGTCACACTGATGTTTAAAACACCTCAAATAATTTTTTTACGTGCTAAATAACAAATCCTGTTCATTTGTGTCACTTTAGCGAATGACGCAATCTGCATCATTGTTAATAGGATGATATTTGGCACGATGGCGCCTGTTAGTTTTAAGGAACCAGGGGTCGTAAGCTGTGCCTATGCGGTAGTGTAATCGGGTGGGGGCTCTTGAGAGCGCCCCTCTACGTCCCTGACATATGGGCGGTCACCTTAGTGTATTCTACCTCATTATTTCGGTGAGTGATTAATGTACACTCAAGGTTTTCATGCGGTAGTGTAGGTAAACCCGTGTCCTGATATTTATGATCCAAGCGCAGGCATTGTTTACATTTAAATAACTCACTTATAGAAAACAATTTCACAAGTCTAAGAATATAGGATTGGTAAGGAATGGATAAAAGCCTTATATATTTCATCGGACTTTCTTCTATTCCCGCGGCAACGCGCAGGGACGGGTACGCTAGTATATATATATATATATATATATATATATATATATATATATATATATATATATATAATATAAATCAATGTATGTGTGTGTGTGTGTGTGTCTGTGTGTCTTTTATGCATTACCACACCTCTTATCACATCGCCGTGAAACTTTGAAAAGTTGTTGAGAATATTCCTGGGGAGGTTTCAGCGAAAAAAGAAAATTCAAATTCTACTATTTCTGCGGCAACGCGAAGGGACGGGTACGCTAATATATATATATATATATATATATATATATATATATATATATATATATATATATATATATATATATATATATATATATATATATATATATATATATATATATATATATATATATATATATATATATATATATATATATATATATATATATATATATATATATATATATATATATATATATATATATATATATACGAGCCGACCCGCGGCATATCATACGCCGCTATTTAGTTGTTTTATTTTCTACTTTTCAGTAATTCATAATTTGTGAATTCGACAGTACCAATGCTGCCACTGAAAATATTTGCTTTAAAACACTAACCCCCCTTTCCCCTAACCCCGACCCTACACCCCCCCCCCCCCCCCGTGAAAGCAGCCTCCTCTTAGTTACCACCTGTAAGTTTAAAATCGTTTCAAACTAAATTATCTGCCCCTAATAGCCGTCACTAAACCCAGCTCTACGATTTGTAAACATTTAGCGTGACCACAGCTCACCAGACCATGTGGGGGTAGGGTGGGGGTGGTAGTGATAGTGATAGAGAGAAAGAGAGGGGACTGTAAGGCGCGCTTGCACCTTGTTTTCTAACGTCTCCCAGAAGAGAATTATATATATATATATATATATATATATATATATATATATATATATATATATATATATATATATATATATATATATATATATATATATATATATATATTGATTACAAGTTATTTTCAATAACATTGTTTTTATCTCTTTGCAGATTTAAGTGTTAGAAATGATTACAAATCTTCTTTACACCGTGATTCTCTTAAATGGATGTATTACACTTGTCTTCCCGGGTATATTAGAATTGTTTTTTTAAGTCTTCTAAACGGAAATTATTTTGTTTTAAACTACGCTCTGTGAACTGTGTTAATTAGATAATTAATTTTAACAGTTCAGACTTTGAATTTATTTTATTTAAATATATATTATAGAAGCACGTTCAAACGAGTTTTAAACATATTTTGTGATATATATATATATATATATATATATATATATATATATATATATATATATATGTGTGTGTGTGTGTGTATGTGTGTGTGTACGTGTGCGTGTGTATGTGTGTGTGTCTGTGTGTGTGTCTGTGTGTGTCTGTGTGTGTGTCTGTCTGTGTGTCTGTCTGTGTGTGTGTCTGTGTGTGTCCGTGTGTGTGAGTGTGTCTTTGTGTGTCTGTGTGTGTGTCTGTGTGTGTGTCTGTGTGTGTGTCTGTGTGTGTGTCTGTGTGTCTATGTTTGTGTCTGTGTCTGTGTGTGTCTGTGTGTCTGTATCTGTGTGTGTGTCTGTCTGTCTTTCTGTCTGTGTGTCGGTGTGTGTGTGTGTGTGTATGTGTGTGTATGTGTGTGTGTGTGTGTGTGTGTGTGTGTGTGTGTGTGTGTGTGACATCAGCATATGAAGGGATTTTATGGTCAGTACCATACCCATGATCTTTGCTTTTCCTTAACCTGTGTCATGAATCCATCAGGGCTTGGTAGGCTCAAGACTCCCTACAATCACAAGTGCAGATATAGATTCAAACTCGAGAGCTTCGGACTAGCGGCCATTCGCTTTACCATTCAACCACGCTGACCCAATAAATGTATTTAATAAAAATAGTACCTCCATTTATGAAAATGATCCAATAATCAGGCAAAATAAAAAAAAACTCGAATCGGGTCGGCCAAGCAGTTTAAGAAATAGAATATGACAAGAAGACAAGTCAGAACAACACGTTTCATAACGTAAAACCTACACACTAAATTAAAAATTTGTAAATTACACCTTTGAGCAATGATTAGAAGAAACTCATTGCAAATCGCAATTTCAAACAATGCCACAACATAGTTTTACTTGCTTAATTATTTTTTACTGTATAATCTTCTCTGTTATATTGCAAATTACAAAATAGTTTGTTTTACTTATTAAGATTGAGAGTGTTGCCCTGAACGCCTGTTTGTAATTGGGAAGAGAAAACAATTAAAACAATGCTGATGTAATTTTCATTCTGAGCATTATTGTGTGAAGATGTAAAATTTCTGGAATACGGTTGCTTCTGAATGAAATGTTTAATTCAGAGTCAATAAGTGGTACTCGTACGTGTATGGAACCTCTAGCTTTAGGTTTTGGAGTTTAGCCTCCTATTGTGGTCATTCATAAGTTAAACATTACCTTTAATAATTTACAAAATACATTACTTAAATATTTAGCTCAAGCAACTCGTGTCTATTGCATACCTAATACATTATCTAAATATTTTGACAATTTGAAATACAAATAATGAGCAACTTAAAATAGGATTAGGTTTAGATTTGGAATTTCGAAGTCGGAGTATTTTTTTAGTAAATTGAGAATTCTCAAGATTATCAATGTTTATTTTCTGTTGTTGAATTATCATTACATTTGAAATCACTAGCGTGCATGACTGGATGGTTTGGCTCCAGCTGCCAATACAAATGTCACTGTGTCAACAACAGATGTGATGACCAAGGTCTGTGTTTAGCTGGGTTAAGTTGTGAGCGGGGCTGGTTTGGTCCACTTTGTCAGTACCGTAAGTTATTACTTAAAGTCAACGAATTTAATTTTTCTAAATCTTCTGTCTGTGCATGTGTGTGTGCGCGCTTGTTTGCGTGAGTGCGTGCGCGCGCGCGTGTGTGTATGTTAGTGAGCGTGTGTGAGACTGTCTCGCTACATCATCAATCAAATTATTTCCTAATTTAATAGTTTGGTCTATTTCATTGCTAAGTATAATAAGCTAAAGCAGAAAAATAACATCAAATTTCATTTAGGACCTTTAAATAATTGAGTTTCAAAAGTGAAAATGTAAATCTAAGATGCATGTTTGCTTATTACAGTGCTTTTTGTATTTATAATCATTTAGGGGAAAAATCCTGTTTACTACTATTTCACTTTTTTATGTATTGTTCAAGCAATAATTGACAGAAGTAATTGTTTTAATTTACTTAATACAACAAACATGCACACAGAAAGAGACACACACACACACAAACACACACAACGTTTTTCAAAATCAGATAACCTAGTAGTAATGTAAATATTTCGAAATTAGTCGGGTGTGACCTACTTAGGTCTGGTAAATTTTATTTTTACATTTGTTACTATACCATATATGGTCTGTGGTGTAATCACTGGTTTTTTCCACTGTCTTAAGAAAGTCTTAGACTCAGTATTTTTCCATTATGAGGATATTGGTTGATTCGGACCAGGTGATACCCCAACCAATAGCCTTATGATTTGAAAGTGACCTTCCATGTTGCCCAAGTCGATAAATAGACCGCGCACACCTTTATCTGGGCAGTTACTTGACCAGACATCGTTGAGAGATAATAAGCCCTGTGTGTCGCCGTGTAGTACTAAGTAGTTTAAGCAGCATATTCTTATATTACTTGTGGTTAAGTAATTCTTTATGCTTATAGCAGCGTTGTGTAAACTGTGGTGATTTTTCTGAAGTGTTAAAAGCTGTGATAGTGTATCATATTATTTTTTCCCACCAATTGTAAGTTGGGTTTTGTTCATTCTGTAAATCTATTTATCCTGTATAAATCTAGTGTTCTGCCACGACTTTGTACACTCATTAAAAGTTATATGCAGATTAAATGTATTGTTGGCATCAGTAGTTTCTCTAGTGTTTCCCCTAGACTTCAAATACGAGTCCTAGTAAACTATTTTGTTAGCTTTCTTTTATTTAGGCTTGTCGCCATCTGTGTATAATCATTTAAACGAATCCGGGAGCGTTCGCCAACTATCTGGCTGATAGAGTGGTGTATCGTTACACGGGTTATGCAAAATTGAAAATAGTTCAAGAAAAACATGCGCACAGACACACACACACACACACACACACAAACACACACACACAATCTTTTTTAAAATCAGATATCATCCTAGTAGTAATGTAAATACTTCGAAATTAGTCGGGGTTACAAAATTGAAAATTAAATGAATTATTGAATCACATGTAGAGTTTATTTTATGAAATAAATATTGCCTTAAAACCAAAATAAGAGCCTCTGAAACTTGTTCAATACTTAATAATTGTTTAATAGTTTTAAAATTGCTGCTGTGATTGTATCATTTATTTTATAATATTTATCAGAGGATCTGTCTACTTTAAATGCCATCATTACACCACCAAACAGTCTTATAGCAGACGGTAAAGAAGGAACGTGTACGGATCTAAAAAATGTAACGATATCATGGACGATTTCATATTTAGTTAATTGGATAAGAATTGTTTTTCGTGATTCAGGTAAAATTAGCTTATTTTTTAAATTTAATTTAGTTTTAGTTAAATTACTACATATACAAAAAAGAGTTGCTGTTCCTTTTACAATGTCTTCTAGTGATCTTCTGTAAGTTTCTCGTATATTTTTACTTTCTCGTATACAGAGTATAGATCAAGCATTGTAATCGTGCTGAATAACTATTTTGACAGTTTTCGCAGTTTTACACCTCGCTACGTTATCATATACGGAATATAAAGGATGCATTTTAATCGTGCACAAAATCTAAATAGAGATTTTGTGTTAGCTGAGGATGTCTTTCCATTTATGGCAATCTCCATTTCTTGTTCAATGTTCTCAAGATCTTCCTCGGTAACTAAATTATCGAGAGACCCTCTTGGCAGATTTGAAGTGTTAAGTTCCACTTTTAGCTTTGCATCCAAAAGAGGCTTTATATGGCGATTGTTGGATTCCTTGATGAACAAAGCGGTTTTTCATAAATTGAATAAATTTGAGACTCAGCCCAATGTCATCATCATCATGTTTGAACATCTTGGTTGGCACGTTCTTCTGAACCTTGGACTTGGCTATGCCTTGGTTTTCCGTGAACTAGTTTAAGTTCAGGACACATGTTCTTAAGGTTCAGAAATATTTGCTTTGGCCTGACGACTTTTGGTCCAAGTCGCATTGCATATAGAATGATATACAAGCAAGAGCCAAACAATACGTTACTCACAATGAAACCGCACCCAGAATAATGAAAACACAATCACAATTTAGAACAGATAGGACATTGGCCAGGACATCCCGGCTAGTGCGTGCATTGGCCGGCCAATGTACGAAATACGTTTTCAGTGCTAAGATCTTTGGGTTTTGACCAAGAGAGCCGGCCAATGCGTACCGTAATATATATATATATATATATATATATATATATATATATATATATATATATATATATATATATATATAATTATATATATATAGGCCTTTATATATTTATCTATCTATCTATATATATATATATATAAAAAGGGTTCCATGACAAATGATCTCAGGACAAATGATCTCAGGACAAATAATCTCAGGACAAATTATATCAAGGACAAATGATCTCACGGACAAAAGATACCAGGACAAAATATATCAGGGCAAATGATATCATGGACAAATAGTCTCAGACAAAATATCTCACGGCGAAACTTTAATACTATTTACGATGATTTTAGTCGAACTGTTTTTTATTGACTGTTAATATGGTTTTGTTTACTTTTTTACGTATAACAATTGTGAATAAAATGAATTAGTGAAACCTAACAAACCATCAGCAGGTGTATTAAACAATTGTAGTAGCATTTGATTTGAAAAAGTAAAAATTAAAAAAGACTTACTCTTTTAGCCTGAAAGGTATAATACATGATAATGTATAAAACAAGTAATGTAACGGTAGCTATACAACATTAATGTTCAAAACACGCGAAATATCTTTCAAAAATGTGAATGGGTCTGAATGTTCCTAACGTTAAACTATTGTTTTTATTACATCATCAACACAAACATAACGTGTGAGTTTCTTTTCTGGTAGGTACATCGTTATGATCACACATCTCCAATACTATGTGATCATCTATTGTGTGAACTCTTGCTCGACATGTCCTAATTTCACATTTCCAAATCTCTTTGCCTGCTTATGACAAACATAAATTCACCAGAAACTAATGTCCTAATACCTTTCGGCGAGGTAACGAAAAAGACCATAGCAAAGCAATCACCATTAATACTGCTTTGTTTGATGCCCACTACGACATACTTAGCTCCGCGATGACCGCTGTCGTTTAAATAAGCATTTGTCACCTGTTCACTAAGGTGTGACAGACGCATAACAATGGACTTTATATGCTAGTCGTATTGTCCATGGAGGGCGGATGTCTTTCCCTTAAGGCATGTCTCTGCCATCAAAGCGGGCGGCAACCTTGATACGAAGGTGTGTCTTTATTGTTATTTCATTCCCTTTCATCTAGTTTCGTCCACCTGACATGGTAGGATTGTCACATGTTTGTCAAGCACACCTACGCTATCTATCGAAATTATTTCTTTAATCTTGGTATACTATATTACTAATACTAACCTTAAAATGTTTAGTGCAATATGACAAATGTATACGCCAAACATTTCTTACAAATATTATGTTTGGCCTATAAACAATATTGAACATTAGTAAAAAAAACAAACATAAGACAGTTAATAAAAAAAATTCAGATAAATTAAAATCATCCAATACACTATTAAAATTTAGGTGTGAGATATTTTTTCTGAGATATTTTGTCTGAGATCAATTGTCCGTGGTATCATCTGTCTTGATATATTTTGTCCTGGTATCTTTTGTCCGTGAGATCATTTGTCCTTGAGATCATTTGTCCTGAGATCATTTATCTTGAGATCATTTGTCCGTGAGATATTTTGTCTGAGATATTTTGTCTGAGATCATTTGTCCTGAGATCATTTGTCCTGTCACCATCAAAAGCAATGTATGTGTGTCTTTCCTTTATGCATTACTTCACCTCTCATCACATCGCCGTGAAGCTTTGGGAAGTTGTTGAGAATATTCCTGGGGAGGTTTCTGCGAAAAAAAATATTTCAAATTCGCAGGTGTGGCGCCCCGACAGGGCGCCATTTGTTTTTTTTCAATATACGGTATATAAAAATAAAAGTCGCTTTTGGTTTGGCATCGTTCATCCGATAGCTATGAGACTTTGGGGAGTTCATAATACCACTCTAGGAAAGGTTTCTGTAAAAAAATAATTTTTAATTTCGCAAGGGCGGCGCCACGGGAGGGTGCGATTTTTCTCTATATACGGTATGTAAAAATAAAAGTCGATTTTGTTGTGACACCGTTATCCGATAGCCCTGAGACTTTGGGGGAGTTGATTAGAACAATTCAGGGAAGGGTTCTGTAAAAAAAAAAATCCTTTTTTAATTTCGCAAGGGCGGCGCCACGGGAGGCTGCAATTTTTCTCTATATACTGTTTATAAAAATAAAAGTCTATTTCGGTTTCTCGTCGTTCATATGTGTACCATGAAACTTTGGGGAGATGATTAGATCACTCAGTGGTAGGGTTCTGCAAAACAATATTGTTTAATATTGCAAGGGCGGCGCCCCCATCGGGGGAGGGTGTTTTTTTTTTCTCTATACACGGTATATAAAAAATAAAACTCGGATGCGGTTCATCCGAGTGCCATGATACTTTAGGAAGTAGATGAGAATACTCCCGAGAATATTTCTGCGAAAAAGAAAACTAAAGTTTCTTATGGGCGGCGCCATATAGGGTACAACTTTCGTCAATACACGGTTTGGCCCCAGAGTTTTAGAGCGACTATGTTGGCACCTGGCATCCGTTAATCGAGCGTCCTGCATAGCGAGTAAGGGGTACTACTATTTTCAGCGGTAAAACTACAACAGTCTTCTAAAAATAACTTTGTAACGCGAGGAAATCATAACTTTTTTAATATGAGGAATACTGTAGAGTTTCGTCAGTTTGCGAATGATGCAATAATCATCTACTACTAGACAGTCCAGTCAGAAATTGAGATCGAGCATCTAATAATAGACCATTAGTAACGCTAGCATATTGCATCAGTCACACTGATGTTTAAAACATGTCAAATACTTTTTTACGTGTTAAAGAAAAAAAGCCTGTTCATTTTAGGCACTTTAGCGAATGATGAAATCTGCATCATTATTAACAGGATGCTATTTGGCACGATGGCGCCTATTACTTTTAAGGAGCCAGGGGTCGTACGCCGCGCCTATGCGGTAGTGTAATCGGGGGGTGGGGGCCTTGAGAGCGCCCTGTACGTCTCTGACACATGGGCGGTCACCGAAGTGTATTCTAACATATTATTTCGGTGAGTGATTAATGTACACTCAATGTTTACATGCGGTTGTGTAGGTAAACGTGTGTCCCGATATTTATGATTTACATTTAAATAACTCACTTTTAGAAAAGACGGTCACGCGTCTAAGAACATATGATTGGTAACGCGTTGTTGAAATCATTTTAAAACATTTCGTCATACTTTCTTCTATCGCCGCGGCAACGCGCGGGGGGCGGGTACGCTAGTATATATATATATATATATATATATATATATATATATATATATATATATATATATATATATATATATATATATATATATATATATATATATATATATATTTATTTATTTATTTATTTATTTATATATAATACTCGATCAACTTTTGAAAGATTTCCGTTAACTGGACGTGATACTTTATGTCTGTGTGAACAATTTAACGTGAGTACTCGTGAGTACTGTTTCAGCTAGGTTGATGAAATTTTATATATATGTATAGGATCTTTTACTGTCATTTTAGTGTGATTTTTCGGAAACCGGAAGTAGTACTTAACGGTAGTTCCGATTTATCAAAAAAATTGTTTTCAAACGTTTCTTGTAAAAACTAAATAAAATTGAATTGTAGGGATGTGAAACGGTGAAAATTGTCAAGTAATCGTTGAATTGTTCAGAACAATATTTACTCCATAATGTGTATAATAGAAAGAAAAAATGACACATTGTTATTTACTATTTCTGTAGGTTATTCAGCTTTTACTAATACTTGTGAAATATAATAAAAATAAATTAATTAAGGAGATGCTTTGCTTACCAATCTCTATTTTGTTTATATATATATATGTATATATATAAATATATATATATATATATATATATATATATATATATATATATATATATATATATATATATATATATATATATATATATATGGTCGTGTCTTTTATTTCAGACACACTATTCGACACTGTGATAAAACTTGTTCTTGTAAACAATTCGTATTTTCCTTGCTCTATAATTTCTAACAATATAAACGCAAATACTACGGACATTGTGTGTAATGAAACCTCCACTACACAGAAGATATTTTTTGATTTTCACACACCCAAGTCAATATGCTCGATTTACATTAGCGGAGGTAATGTATTAGTAAATATTTTAGTATTGAGTAATATTTCTTTCGATTAAATGCATTAGGTTAATTAATTATAGTTTATAAGCGTCAGTTCATCTCACTATACTAAATAATATAGCATGTTTAGTTATTACTTTTCTGTTGTTAATGTCCATACTATTTATTGTGATATACTTGTCAATGGTAAAAGGGTATGTGTACCGTAATAATTGAGATAACCTGTAAAATGTGTAAATTCAACCTGTAGGAGGGTCTCTGCCTCTTCTCTACCTGGAATATAGACTCTAGTATAGTATAACTAGACGTACTACATTAAGGTCTGATGACTAAGGGTCAATTCAATGCCCAAAGTTTACAGCCTTAGTAGAATAATAATTTCTTACCAGGTCCGATGATCTATTGTCTCTGGCAAGGGTTTACGGCCGGTGAATAAAATAAAATATCAGGTCCTATGACTACGGGTCAACTCAATGCCCACAGTTTACGGCCTGTAGTAAAATAAAATGATGCAGTGTATAATAGTTTCGTATCTACTGCTACGTGGCTGATACACGTGCAGGATAAAAGTAGTATAAAAGTAACTGAAATGTCTACTCAACTGCCACGTGGAATTATGACACTGGCAGGAATAGTTTAAGTCAAATAAGTATTCAAATGTCCTGTGTGCTAAGACACGGACAGTGTAAAGTGTAACTAAGTAAATCACATGGACTAAGCCACGAACACGGTAACAGTGTAAAGCATTTAAGTAACAATACATAATAGCAAGATAATATATATGGTATTTATTGAAACTACATGTTACAATGATAATCAAATATGCGTATCAAAACTGGTAAAGTGAACATAAGAAATAAAGTAAAACCAAACCCAGAACACGTGGAGGTCGGGCCGACGGCCCCAACGCCGCGTGTTACACCAGCCGAGCTCAGTGCTGGAAGAGTGAGAAGAGAGAGGGAGGTTTTTGGTTTGCATCCCCTTTTATGCATTAAAATTGGCGTGTCACGTGGGCAATCTAGCCAACTAGAGAAGAGCCTGTGAGGGGACGAAAATTAAGAATGTGCGTAGGCTAGCTGGTGAGGCGGGGGGGGGTAGTAATAGCGCAGTTAGAGGGTGGTGGAAGAACAAAATGGAGGTAGGTCTCAACGGTTTTACCGTCACAATACTTAACTTTGTGTATGTCGGTGCATGTCCAACGTCTTTATGAAGACATTACAGACATGTTTGTTAACTAAGTAACAGAAGGTTTCCCTTGTCGAGTTTCCGAAAGGAGGTCATTCCAACTTAATTTACAAAGCAAATGTATTCGACAGCAAGACAGAAAAATGTTCAGGAAGGATAATAATAATTATGGCTTTCTAATATATTACATTTCTTTATTTTACATTCTTCTATTGTTTAACTATCAAAGCAGTGGTTTAAGTAGATACCGGTTTGTTTACACTAGCAATGACGTGACTCTTATGACCTCTAACAGCAAGAGTATATTTGTCTTTACTAGCTCGATGACTACCTTTCTAAACAAACTTGGTCTCCATAACCAAAACTAATTAAGCGTGACACTATTATGTTGTTGTAATAGTTGAAAATCATATTAAACATTTGGAAACAAGTTTTTTTTTTTTAAAGTAGATTGCGATGTTGTTGTTTTTTTCCTGCTTATCATATGTAATCATATAAGATTACAACTAAAACGTCGGTCTCCTCTATTTCAACAATTTAAGTTTATACTGAGTTATACAATAACATACTTGGTTGTCCTTTTAGCCAAATATTGAAGGTGAATAGATAATAGTTAATAAATCGGGATGTATAGATTTATCTACCACTGTCTTTACAGTAATACCCGCAAATAGAAGGGCGTAATACGAGATCTATAACCTTGATACAGCTTATATGAAACATAAATACGTAGAGTGCTTTTAATCCGTAAAATTAATTGTGTCATACAGGTAGAAACGTTGCACTAAACATGTCAACATGGCAATCTAGCAACTACAATGATTCAATCCATGGACCAATATTTGTTTCTTCAAAAGCCGTAGATGGGAATTCAAGTGGAAACTTTTATAAAAAATTAACTTGTACACATACGGATATTAAACCGACACCGAGTGTTTGGGGTGTCACATTTCCACAGCCAATGTTTGTTACCCGCTATGTACTTTATAACAGAGGTAAGTTTGGAATATAATTTTAATTTTTAAACTTCTAATCGAAGACGGGTAAATGTTACAGCAGAAGCTTTCTACTCTAAATATTTTATATTTAATAACGTTTAGCAATTAACAATTATACATAACATGACTGACTTTAGTTGATTTATATTCTTTTGTATTATAACACCGCTTCTAGAAATGTTTTATTACATTACGTTTCTATAATGAAAATATGTGTGGATGGGTGTATGTGTGCTTACAACAGGGGTATGACCACAGTTGATTTGTCAACATATAGTTTTTATAATGATTATAAAATGTTCTTTACGGTGTGTTTTTTTTTACGTTATCAGTAGTGGAGGCTGCCTCCACATAAAATTATGTTAACGATTTTAATTCGCAACACAACAAATAGATATAACACGTTTGTGTGACTTTTCAGAGTAGGGAAAATTTCCATTTTAATCAGTCCACACAAAAATGTTTTATTTCGATATTTTATTTTAAAGTGAGTATAAGCTTTAACAAGAAGAATATTAGGAAGTTATTTTATTATTTTTTCCAACTCGCCAGCGGACCGCGAAATGCAACGATTAAAAGGATTTAATTTGGTGAGCTACAATGTAAACAACACGGTGGTGTTTAACTACATGGATACACTAGAGAGTGACAAAATTTTGGTTTATAATATAACATCAACTGGAAATGTAGGTGTATCAAACGTCAATATCACAGCCAAACAGCATGACAACATTTTAACACTGTGTGAAGTGGAAGTTTATGGAGGCACGTGAGGGCTTGTTTATTTAGTTAACAATTTATATCATTATAATTTTTGTTTAAAGCATTTCCATTAGTTCGGAGCAGGTTATCATTTAACACAGTTTTTATTCCAGTGATATTAAGAGTTATGTACTAACCACTTATATTAAATCAGATCAAGTGTGTCAACACAACACATACGGCCTAGAGTGTATGAACATTTGTAACTGTAGCCACTGGAAACAGAAATCATGTTTTGTTGCTACTGGTCAATGTTTTGGTGGATGTGACGCTGGTTACTTCGGTAAAGATTGTAGCAATGGTGAGTTGATTAAGACGAAATGTCATAACAGTTGTAAATATATTTCTCTAAAAACAGTTTAAATTATCAAAAATCATTCAACTGTTAAAAACCGTGCTGTAATAAAAATTTATTTTCATAAATACAGAATGCTTAGCTGGTTCTTATGGAGAGAACTGTTCTATGAACTGCAGTACGAACTGTAGAAATAAGATGTGCGATAGGTTCAATGGTACCTGCACTAGTTGCATTGACGGCAAAGTTGGTCCTTTTTGTGAAACAGGTAGTATGTTTATATAATTAATAATTTGTTAATAAATAAACATTACGAGCCGACCCGCGGCATATCATGCGCCGCTATTTAGTTGTTGTTTTTTCTACTTTTCAGTTATTCATAATTTGTGAATTCGACACTACCAACGCTGCCACTGAAAAATATTTCTTTAAAACACTATAAGTAGCTCGTTAAGGACGATACCCCCCCCTTCCCCCCCCCCCCTCCGTTAAAGTAAACTCCACTTAGTTACCCCCCCCCCCCCCCCACTACGTTTAAAATCGTTTCCAACTAAATTATCTGCCCCTAATAGTCGTCACTAAACCCGGCTCTGTTTGTAAACATTTAGAGTGAACCACAGCTCACCAGACCATGTAGGGGTGGGGGTGGTAGGGAGCGCGTTTACAGCTTGTTTTCTAGCGTCTCCCAGAAGAGAATTATATATATATACGATTCGGCCCGCGGCATAACATACGCCGCTATTTAGTTGTTTCTAATTTTCAATAATTCATAATTTGTGAATTCGACAGTACCAACGCTGACGCTGAAAATATTTCTTTAAAACACTATAAGTAGCTCGTTAAGGACCATAACCCCCCCCCTTCCTTCCCTCCCCCCCCTCCTCCCCCCACCCCCCCCCCCCCCCCCTACGTTTAAAATCGTTGGCTCTGCTTGTAAACATTTAGAGTGAACACAGCTCACTAAAACCATTTAGGGGTGGGGAGGTAGGGAGAGCGTTTGCAGCTTGTTTTCTAACGGCTCGAAGAAGAGAATTATATATATAGATATTACTAGTCCTACTTGTTATGTATTAAAAATAAATAAGTCTTTCGTCTAAAAATTATATCAGTAATAAGACATACATGAAAAATATTGTTACTAATAAATAAATAAAATAAATATTTAACCTGTCCCCAAAGCAAATGACTTTCACTAGTACAACATAAAGTCACCTTAAGGCTAAGACATTCACTTGACAACCTACATCGAAAAAGAAAAAAAATTAAAATAAAGATTACTAGTTATCTTATAATTAAATGTAGCACAATATTGAACTAAAATACAGGCCTCACGCATTTCATCTTTAATTATCATTAACAACGTTTAAATGTATGTATTTTTATAATTATATATAGAGGTACATAGACACTAAGGCAGTTTAATTAATTGTTACTTGTTTCTTGGACATATGCTCATAAAGACATGTCATTTTATATCCAGCATATGCTGACAACAATAAAGAACTGAAATTCAAAACTTTCCATATCCAAACTATGCCGGATTCTATTTTATAAATGGCATACATTTTTAATTACATTTTTTACATACGATTATTTAAAAACATATCTGGAGGGTGTTAGGTAAAAGCTAATATTTTAACAACTAAACGAAATGTAAAGTAAGTATCAATTTGAATATATGATGTTTAATGTAGCCTACATGATTTCAATCTAGTAGGAAAATAAGTTGCGACGCCCTGTGGGTTTGAATTTCGAAGATTCTTCAAATTTTTATAAAATTCTTTACAAAATTTAACAAGAAGTATATTTATATTTTAAAAAAAAAAATGCTTATCCGTTTTACTTAAAATTAATGTAAAATTTATTTGGGAAAACAGTTTTGAGTTCTACAATATTGATTTTAAAACAAAAAATGTTCCGAAAATAGTGTGTACTTGCGTGACTGGTGGTCAGATTATTATATAATATATGGCTCCAGGGGCGTAGCGAGAGGGGGGGGGGGGGCGGGGGTGCGGACCGCACCGGGTGACACCATTTAGGGGGGTGACACCAAGGCAAAAAATAGCAAAATATATAGGGAAAAACTCGAGGGGGGGTGCAAATCGAAAGTTTGAGGGGGGTGCAAATCGAGAACTTGAGGGGGGGGGTGCAAATCGAAAGTTTGAGAGGGGTGCAAATCGAAAATTTGAAAGTTTGTCCCTGGGAAGGGTCTCTATGCCTCTTGGGGGGGGGAGGGGGTGACACCATTAAGTGCCGCACCGGGTGACACCCGACCTCGCTACGCCACTGTATGGCTCATAACTAAACAGAAACTTATTATTTTATCATTTGCGCCATTATAGCGACATGTCAATTAAATGGAGATATTTATCTTGATTCACAACAAAATAATGTATTTCTCTATCTTTTTCAAAAATCATTCTTAAAAGAAAGGTTAACAATAACACTGACACCAAAACCATAGCCCATAAAAATAAAAGTAAGGCACGAAACTTGTGCGAATCGTACTTGAAAACAAAAATAAAAGTTCGTCGAAAACTCAAACATTAGTTGAATGTGGCTAACTCTCCCATTTGGAAATGTGTAATGATTTAAACAAGTGTCGGCTAATTCTAAAACTACTTCATGTATCCACAGATTGTAACGATACATTTTACGGAGAAAACTGCCGATACCAATGCAGTACAAACTGTACAGACCAGCTTTGTTACAAAGAAAATGGAACATGTTTTAGCTGCATATCAGGACAAATGGGCCTAATATGTGAAAATAGTAAGTTGTTAGAAATCTAACAAGAAAAATTTATATTATAATAAATCGTTTCATTACCTGTGCTACTTATAATAAGTTTAAAGCTGTAAATAGTTCTGAAACAATGATCTCACTGACACAAATTTTAGAGACAATTATCAGGACCAATTTTTTCATCACCAGATACATCACCTACTAAATTTTTATGAAAAAATATTTATTGGGAAAATAAGCACCAAATTTGGGATCATATAAAAATTGAGAAAAATGCATAGGTTGGTGATATCTAATTTAAATGGTTAGGCTACCGAAAAGAAAATTTCTTAAATAATAAACTTTTTAAAAAATTGATTTATGTGTATCTAAGCTAGAGTACTTATGGGCAAAAATTGGGTGCATCAAGGACTCTTCTGAAAGTATGGTTGCCCTGGCAATGTCGGCGAATTTGAAAAAAAATCCTTTTTTATTTGAGTTTCTAAGTTTCAAATCCTAATTTAAATATATAACGTATAAATATTGATCCGTTTAATTCCCCGTTATTAGACTCAAACAAACAGAAGCGACGAAATACTTCAGATAAAAGAAAAATAAATGTCTTTAAAATGTATGCACAACTGTTTAATACCTGTAAGAATTACTTTATAACGAAAAGTTATTAATATTTGATTGATGGCTGATGTAAACAAAGCAAATACGTCACAACATTTGATTTAACTTTTTTTGAAAATATCATATTTAGAAATAATTTGAAATATGTTAATATATCTAATCAGACGATCATCATTTTGAGCAGATCTGTCATAATAACGACTTATCACAATGCTATAGTTTTATATACAACATATCTGGGGGTCATTGGTCAAGGTTGTCAGAACTCGAGATGTGTGTTATAACAGTCGCACGCTCTACCAATCCCAACCCTCGCCCCGTAGCATGGATATTTATAAAGAACAAATTACTTGACTTATTAACGATTTATCATTTAATTTTACATTTAAGTGCTTGTTCTTGTTAAATCAACAGTAGTATTAAGTATATTATTAATATAATAATGTATATGGGAAGATTTTAAGCATAATTGTTTTGAATACCCAAGGGTAAATAAGCAGAATAATGTAAATCGTATTTGAATTTTTCAGAATTAGTTCTTATGTAACAAAGAATAAAAGACCATATTTATCAATATCAATTAAACATTTTGACAATTATTTTGTAAGCCAACTTTCATTTTTTCAATCAAATTCATATCAGCTAAAAAACGTTACATATCTAAATTCTTTGAATTTTATTATGTTTAGGTTTCCTTTGTCTTGTTCATTTTTTAGTGTTTGATTAATGTGTTCTACTTTTAACATGTTTTTTAAAATATATTTTCAATAAATAATAGAGTGATAAAAATAAATTTGGACCAAAGTGTATCTCTCATATTTATATTAATTTAAAAGCTTGCGACAGCCAACATTTCGGAACTAACTGTATTAGTCGTTTCCCCTGAAATGGTGAGACCTCTGAATGTATAAGCATAAATGGTCATCGTAACACATGTATATGGGGACTTGATGGAAAGTTTTGTAAAATTAGTAGGTTGTGTTTTACTTTTAGTTAGTTATTCAAAACTTCGATTTAATACAAAACATGTGCTTTTATTCTTAAATCTACACTTTAAATATTTCTTTCCGTAGGCTGTGACGATCATCACTACGGCCCTAACTGTATCTACAACTGCTCTTCAAACTGTGAACAACTTCAGTGTAACAAAACAAATGGTTACTGCAATAATTGTTATGCTGGGTATCAGGGAGACTTTTGTAATATTAGTAAGCACCACTTTAATATGTTTTATATTCATAGAACAGTGTTTTCAATCAAATTAGAAACTATCCCTGTATTTTTACAAGCTTTTATTTATTTCGCAATATCCGGTTGTTTTTTAGTTTGTTAGTTGGTTTGTGAATAATTCTGTAACTCAGTGTTGATCAACGTCTAAGGCAGCTTTTTTTTTTTTCAAATTTTCAAGAAATTTTTTTTTCGAAGGCAATGCACGTAGGCCTATATCTATTTTTTAATCAAATAAGACAATGGATTAGGCATTAAAATCTAATTAACGGTTTCGAAGCTAAGGGAAGATAACAAGATTAAATGCAAGCGATCACTCGATAAATTACTATTTTCAATAACAGAAGGGGAGATAACTAACTTGAAGCGATCACCTGATAAATTTTGCTGTGGTTCACGCTGAATGTTGTTTGGTCACGGTTAGTTGCCCAAGTGGCGATCACGACAAGGGGCAGACAACTGTCTTTTAGAAACTGCAAACTAGATATTTTTATTCGAAGCCTACATAGATCTAGTGTCAACTTAATTAAGAACGAATTACTAAAAAGTGGAAAGTAAAACTAATTAACCTTTATAATATACAAGCTTTTAAATGCACCGAATATAAGAAAATAAAACAAAGTTGCTCTCACGCAGTATACGACCAAAGCTAGATTAGGTCAACTTTATTGCAGGATACCAGGGGCAATTTTGCAATAATACTAAGCAGTGACTCTCTAAATTTTGCAGTTGGTGTCATCCTTCCCCCCCCTCCCGTGATAGTATTAAACTGTGCACAGGTAATAGTAACGATGTTAAACTATACTCGGATATTAATAAAGCTAAGTGTGACATTGTTTTCTTTATCGTTAGCAGGTTTACGTCATTGTGTCAGCCCCTTCTCTCTCTACTAATTTTTTTTTGTCTATGGGTTAATCATAAATTGTGTCACCCGGTGCGATCCGCAGCCCCCCCCCCCACCCCACCCCGTCGTCTCTGCTAGCAAGTAGCTTTGTGTAGACAACCACTAATATATAACTAGGGGTGCAAAATAACTAATTGTCTGCTTTAAATTAATTGCATTAGTAAAATATTGTGTTGAAAAAAACGTCAAATGTTTATGATCTTCATGTATATTACTCATCAAGACTAAATAAGCAGGCTATAAAGCAGTGTATAATGGGAGATGCCTTGAGCCTAAATACTATTGTTTCATTATTTACAACTTAATGATATTTCCCAATTACCATTGCCATTAAACATGTTCTCAATCTCTTGGAATTAAATTATAGTCGCCTTTACATCTAATTTAACAAAATACAAAATGATATAACTGTGTTCTGTTTAGCGCATTACCTATATTATTTATTGTTTCACTACCAAAAAATACAACACCATTCCTCTATGTATTCCAATATGCACCCAACTATCAGCATGTGATAATGATCGGTATGGAGTAAACTGTAAGGAAAACTGCAGCCACTGGTGTGTACAAAACAAAACACAAACCTGGTGTAACAAAACGGATGGGCAGTGTCTGATAGGCTGCAATAATGGATTTAAAGAGGAGAATACTGAATGCAGTAGTTGGAGTAAGTAATATCAGAAGGTTGTAGGGGTCAGTGTGGTCTTATGTTAGATCGTGCTCGCTAATACGAATATGTTTAGTACTGTCCCATCCCCACACCCACGTGCTCAAAAGGAGAGACATACTATGGGCATGGTCAAAAACTTGTTGGAAACTAACGGTACGAGCGACATTCAATATGTACGTTTTTCCACTTCTTGTTGAGATGGAACTCAAACCAGCAATATCAGTATGACAGAGATAGAGATGGATAAAGTGAGAACATGTGAGCGATATATACAAAGAGCGAGAGAGAGAGAGAGAGAGAAGCAGTTTCTTCCAGGCATTTACTCCCCCTCCCCCTTCCCCCGAACGATATGGAATTTATATAGAAAATATATACTTTTTACAGTGTCAGCCCCACCGGAACTTTTAGTCCAGCCCCCTCCGAAAATTTCAAGTGCTACCCCCCCCCCGATAAAAAAAAGTCAGGAAGAAACTCTGAAGGGAATATTTTGCGACAGCTTTTCAAGTTAACCTATCGCCTAGGCCTCACGAATGAAAATGTGTGAATTATTGTTTATATAGGGGTCTTAGTTTATGTGGATACTACTTGCAGACCGGTCAAGTGTTTAGTACAAAGGAAAAACATATTATGTATAATTATAAGACAGGTCATCTAAAGAACGCATATATTTTATTTAAAACTAGTGTTGGTTTAATGTTTTCAAAAGTGGCTTTTACTAGTAATTAAATGTTTTCTATTGTCTCTTCCACTTTATTACAATTAATAAGAATTGGGTTGTTTTTTTTTTTTGCAACAATCGTGAAGGTCTGAAGAGCAAAGAAGATGACACTGCTACAACACTGGTGCCAATTGTTGTTCCTGTTGTTGTAGTTTTGCTGATAGCCATGTTAGCTGTGGCTAGTGTGGTATTTTGGAGGTAAATATTTGAAGCTGCCACACCAAGGTACTAATGAAATTGTTAGGAGAAAAAATAAAATATGCTAAACATGTTAATAATTGTGTAACGTTTAAGTTTAAAGGTAGCATCTTAATATATTTTTATACAATATTTTGTTTGAAGGCGAAGAAAACAAAACAAAAATAAAAGTAATGGAGACAATGGTGGGCAGGGAAGTAACAATGTGTTGACAACAACATTTGGTGCAGACGATGGAACATATGGAAAGGGAGGTAACTTTGTATTAACTGCACGAAAGTGTGTTAATCCTAGCGGAAAAATATTTACATTTATTGTCTTTTTGTTTTGTTAAAAAGTTTTAATCATAGATCCTGTTTATTATTTCAAATGATGCATTTACTCAATACCACCATAAAACGGTAGAAATAATATAACCGCCAGATTCCCCTAAGGCTAAAAGAAAAGTGGCCATCGTCAACGCCTATTGTAACGTCACAGACAGCACTTTCATCCAAGTCTCACCACTAAATGAATTTATGCGAGCCAAAAATAGCGAATATTTTGCCAAACAATTTAAGGCAAGATTTTTTCTTTCGAATTTGCAATTTTTTTAAAAAATGTAAGGCTTAAGAATTGTATTTATATAATATAGTAAAAATCTAACCTTATTACATTTGACTTAAACTATCTTAATGTTGTGTCAAAGTCAGTTCTCCAAAAATGTAAAATTTTTATTAAGTTACATTTGATACTAATATATTATACTAAAGCTTCTTCAGGATTTCCATAAAAGTAATTGCAAATAACATGTATTTAAGACTAAATATATCGTTTAACATTTTTAGTCCATACCAGCACCGCAGAATGTGTCCATGTCGGCTGGACAGAGTGAAGAAAATAGAAACAAGAACAGATACAAGAATATATGCGCATGTAAGGATATATTATAAGCAAATATGACTACAAATGAAACGGTGTTAATAATTGTAAATGCAAAAGTAGAATAACATAACTCCTACTGTTTGCAGATGACCACTCTCGTGTCCATCTAGAGATTAACACAAGCAAAAACGAAGGGGACTACATCAATGCTTCATACATTGAGGTAGGATTTTTTTTCAAATTGTCTAGTATTAATTAACGTATCGTTAATGGAAACGTACTCTGTATAGACTAAAAATAAATCGTTCTATGAAACTTACCCTGGCTTAGTCATCACACACGGCAGGCAAGTTAGGTTTTAAAACACAAAAGTTAATGACTTTATAAAAATACATTAACACAAATTGAAACGCAATTCTAAGGGACATATACAGCCAAAATCATTGTAAAATCGTTTTTGTCGAATGTCGGACGGCAAGCCTTTTACATTTTGACCTATAACAGGGGTCGGCAACCTGCGGCTCGCGAGCCGCATGCGGCTCTTTTGATATCAAGATTCGGCTCTCCAGCTCCTTGAACAAATACTAATAATCTTAATAAAAAAATTAAATATTTGAAATAAAAAAATGTTAGTGGCTCTTTAAAACCAGGGAAATTTTGAAAATTGTAACTTTTGGCTCTTCCGCTTCTAAAGGTTGCCGACCCCAGGCCTATAACACTCGGTAATGAAAGATAATATAAATATAAATAATACACACTCCCTATTCTATTTTAATAATTAAGTACTCCCTATTTCAGGGTATTTTCGATCAAACATTATAGTAGGCCTACTCACTACTAGGAGAATGGCACATTTTATTAAATATGTGGCGTTTTGTCTGTTGTTACTAGATCTAGATCTAGAGCTAAATCTAGATCTAGATTTTCTAGATCCAGATCCAACTTGTTACTGTTGAGAAGTAGATCTAGAATCTAGATATAGATTACTTGAATATATATACTAAATGTTCTAGATCTATATTTCCATTAAATTGCCTTAATGTACCTGTTTTTTAACAATCGAATTAAAACTTTTCAATAATAAATAAATAAAGATTAGCGATGTTTTCATCAGATGCAAACAACTTGTTTAGAAACAAGGCTTAACAAGCTCATTTTGTCATTTACTTTAGCAGCCAACTTGTTCAAGGTTTTGAGCGCAATTTCCGTACAGGAATTGCGCTTATTAACTCGTCAGTTCTGGATGGATGGATGTGTGTCCGCAATGGATGGATGTGTGTCCGCAGCTTTAAGTCGTATCTCCTCCTCAACGAAGCAATATCGAGGACTAGATCTAGTTCCAAAAGCAAATATGTTAAGCAAGTTCCGAGGATGATTGTGGGCCAAAACAATTACCGGAATTCCTTCCTGGATTTCCCGGAAAAGCCAAAAAACCTCGAAAAAATGCAGTTTTTACTATAATTCTAGATCTAGTTAGAGATTCAGGGAAACCACTCAAACTTACAAACTTACAGATATATTAATTATATAGGGCTATTTTTCAAATTTTCAATTAGATAGTAGATCTATAGTTAGTTTAGGCCTAATAAATAGTAATGCTATTATAGCTGTGTACTTGATACTTGGGTTAGTTTTTTCCTACTGTTGGGGTCTTTTTGTATTGCCAGTGATTTAGATTTTTTCTTACATTTTTTTTTAGGTTTTACTCATAACAGTTACTTATCACCCTACATTTTTATTATAATAGAACATGTAAGCATGTTTGCATCTGTAAGTCTAATAATATTTTAGTAAAATTTTTAGTAATCTAACTACATTCTGGCTGTATCTGCTCCATCAAAGCTACACAATTCCTAAATGACAATGCATTGTAAGTCTATTTGAGAGGTTTCTAAAAATTAAGTAACATTCAAGTAATTTATCTGTATGATGAAGTGATACATGACAAATACAGGGTTACTGTGACTAAAGTTTTTGTTTCTTTTTATTAGTATTGAAGTATTAACATCAGTTATGCTTAAGTTGTAAACTCTGTTGTATGTTATGCTATGGGTAAGGATTTTTAATACAATTTATGAGTAGCCTACATTCGAAATGACTCAAAAGTAAAAGCAGACATTTTTTAACCTTAACTTGGACTGAATGTTCTACCCTTTACAAAGATTGAATAGTTATTTAATATTGTTAATTACAAAACACACTCTGAAGCTCTCAATTATATTTATGACGGACGCAAGGCATATTGTTATAGTATGTTTTTGTATGTGACCTAAACAAAATGATCCTAATCATAACCTTAAGAAATAATTTAAGAGTTTACTAATTATTTATGGTAATGATAATAAATCTCATCATTTAATCTTCAGGGTTATAACAATGAAGAAAAATTTATAGCCTCACAAGGTAATACTTTATAGCATTTACATATGTTATTAGCATCAATGTTTTAACAGCATCATCCTATTCCATTCTTAAAGTATGTATTCTGGATGTGTAACACTAATTCAAATACATATGCAGCTTTGGATGTATAAAAGGTGCCTAGAAATATATATGTATATATATATATATATATATATATATATATATATATATATATATATATATATATATAAAGTTAAGTGGAATCCTCTTCAGACAGCGGTCCATTGGGCAGGTGAGGTAGAGTTCATATTTCTTGACATTGCCATATTAAGAGAATGTGTGGTCAGCACTTTGCCGAGTTGCCTTTACTTTACCTAACATTAATTAAGTACTTATCAGAGCAGGGTGGACTCAGTGACATTCTACTGACTTGGACCTGGATTTGAACTCGAGACTTTTGTGTTAGCAATATTTATTTATTTATTTATTAGGCCCCACAAATGATGCCATTGAATAATATTTTGCACTGTGACTAACGTATGTTACTAAAATCACCAGGTCCAACTGATGTGAACATCAATGATTTTGTGCGAATGTTGTGGGAACAAAGAGTTGATAAAGTTGTGATGCTGACAAAACTAATAGAAGAAGGCAAGGTTAGTAATAATAAAGAAATGTGTAGTTGCATTGTTAAAATTAACAACCTGAAAAACACATGTAGTTTTATAGCTTTTATCTAGTTCAACATAACACATGTTATGTATAAATTCTGATTGTACAAATTTAAAAAAATGATTTTATAAATAAATTAATATCAAATGTGTGTGATTTAAAGGTAAAGTGTGTAAGCTACTGGCCAGAAGAAGGTACAACCACATTTGGTGACATCAAAGTTAACCTGGCAGCTACTCATGTGTTTGCTGACTACACTATCAGGAAGTTGGAGCTTAGTAAAGTATGGACACACTTTTTGAAGCTTAATTTTTAGCAGATATATTGTAACGAATAATTATATAGAAACATGTATGATGGTATATAACGAATTTGATTGTTTTTGTTTCGCCAATTTTATGATAAAAAGTTTTACTGTTTGAGCTTCTTTAAAGTTATTTAAACCTAAAATATATTTTCAACTCACATTTGTTATGCATTGTTGATAGAAAGGTCAGACAACCCACCAATTTACACAGTTCCACTTCACATCGTGGCCAGACCAAGGCGCACCTCTAACACCGTGGGGACTTGTGGACTTTGAACAGAGGGTGGCATTGGACAAAACACCCAAGCCAATTCTCGTACACTGCAGGTAGGGAATATTTTTTTCTTTAATGAATACTGTAATTATTTTTTTTTCTAAATCAACAATATAACATTTAAAATTAAGAATTAGAACAAAAGATTTAATAAAATGAATTATTATTTCTAAATCTGGTGGAAATTCTTTGAGGTCAAATGGTAAAGTGTTTGGCTGCCACCCAATCGTCTCTTGTTCGGATCTCAGTTTGGAGTTGTGACTAAGTTCACCCAGTTCTAATGAATACTTGATTTACATTGGGAAAGTAAAGGTGGCTGGGCATAGTGATGACTATCCCTTCATATGCAGAGGTCAAGATACTTAAGAACTCTGCTTTATCCGATCTGCCCAATGGATTGTTAGGTGTCTCAAGGAACTTAACTTAAAAGCAAAAATCCTTATTAAATGTAGCTTTTTATGTAACTCATACTTTTTTAAATTCTATATGTTTATTAGATAATATATCAAATTTTTCCTTCTATTAGTAGTTAATAACGAGATAAATTTAAAACTACAGCGCTGGTGTAGGGCGTACTGGAACCTTCATCGCTCTACGTAATGTGATGAGAGAAGCTGAAGACACAGGGCGGATAAATTGTTTTCAAACAGTGGCCAAACTCAGACAAGACAGGGTTCTGATGGTCCAAACAGCGGTAATGGTTCACTATTAATAATAAACATTAAAATAATTATTATTCTAAAATGCACTGCATAGTATTGTTATATATCTCATCAATACCAGGAACAATATGAATTCCTGCATAAGGCAGCTCAGGTGGCCATTGTTTGTATGGGTACCACAGTGACGTACAATAACATAACGTCCAGAATCTCTGATCTTGAGGAGCAGCTGGTTACTGGAAGCTGTAAACTTGAAAAAGAGTTTAAAGTATGTGTGATTAGTATTTTGATAAGAAAAGTAACTGAAGAAAGTAGTGTTACATCTAAGACACAACATAATATTTAGAGATCATAGGGTTTCAAAATACAAATTGGCCATAAAACAGAACTATTTTTTAATATGCTTATCTTATTAACAGGGTATTAATACATCAGTGATTTTAAATGTGTATCATTTAATGTGATTTAAGCACTTTAATGCAATTTATTGGCCAGATAACTATATAACTAGATAACTGATATTTTACAATAAGATATTGTATCACATAGTCCATACTTTGTGAAGTGTTTGGCATGTATTACAGGCTGTCTCAGAAGTCTGTTTAGATTTAGTGCAAGAAAAAGATGACAACACACAAGGGGTTGATTCAAATATATATCAGAACAACACTTCATCAAACTCAACAAAGGACAGATTCTCATCTATTATTCCAAGTAAGTTTAACTCAAAAATAAATACTTACATTCAAGTATGTATTTGAATATAATTTTTATACTTTTATTTTTAAAATTAACCTCAGTTACAAGCATAAATTATATATATATATATATATATATATATATATATATATATATATATATGCAGGCAAGTTGTATCAAGCTGTGTTATTGAAGGAATCAAACAACCTTGGTGATTATATAAATGCTGTGTTAGTATCGGTAAGTAAAACTAGCGTTTATATTTTATGCACATAGGACATTGTTAAATATTGCTAAAATAACATGTTTATTCCCCAGGGCTTTACAAAAGGAGAGAACCAGATACTAACACACCTCCCAATGCCAAACACAGTCACAGATTTCTGGAGATTGGTGGCACAGTACAATGTAAAACTTGTCATGGCTTTCCAAACAAAAGAATCAGTGCAAGACGAGGTATCTAGACTATTGCTGCATGAGCACAATCTTTACACTTAAAAGTAACGTATTATTAGGAATGCTGATATTAAAATACATATTTGTTTTATGTTTCTCAAGTCTTATGGCCAGTACCTGCCTGCCAACATGACAACACCTTTAGACTGTGGACCATATGAAATACACACAGGACCTGTCAAGTCTGAGAGTTTATGGGAGGAACAACAGATCACTGTCAAAATTGTCAAGAAAACTTCAAGTATACTATCAGTGAGTAGACAAATACACAAATTATATGCATAATTTAAAAAAAAGTGAAATAGGAACAATTCAGAGTTTATCCTTTACTGAATTCTTTATACAAGCTTTTATTTAACTTGATTCCTCTGTTTGTCTTTTTGTCTATCTATAGTCTGTCATGGATCGAAACTAAGGAAACAAAATTTTAATAACTTTTAACTTAACTGACAGATAAGTTTCAAACCTGCTACGTGGGTCAAGACCAGATGACAATGCAATCTGACATCAAATTTTACTTAATTTGATGCTTAATTCTCTTTTTATGAACTATTTAAAATTTCCAATATAAAGTAGTATTTACTGTGCTTTTATATGTGCATAATGTGGCACGTTTTCATATTCATTTGGTGCACAGTAGTAGTCAGTGTTTCTTCGAGACTTTTTTCTCCGGGGGTGCACTTGAAATTTCCGGGGGGGAGGTGGAAACTATCAAATGTAGTATATATTTCCTATATAAATTCTATTTTGTTCGCGCGGGGGGGGGGGGGACTGCCTGGAAAAAACTCTGGTAGTAGTATTTAGTCATGCAACTATTGTTTTAAAAATTTTAAGTGCTGAAAAGAAATAGAGCAGGAGTGATCTCCCCTAAACTTTCCCAAATATTCACTAATGGGGTTGGCAATCAAATTTTTTTTTTTATTTAAAATTTTTCAAATCCTTGAATTTCTTATTAGATATAAACTTTTTTGTAAAAAAAAAAGAATTGTATACCAAGTGTGTATAAAGTTGTTGAAAATTTTTGCTTATTATAGAATCCCTTAATTAGTTTTTAAATAGGTAATTAATGATCTAATTAAATAACATTTTGTGTCACAATACATTGACATTGAGTCTTGACCTACATGAAAAGTTTGATAGAAATAGGCCAGGGTTGAAGGGTTTTAAATTTTGCTTGCAAGTTTCAGAGGAATCAAGTTGAAAATAAATTCTTATGCTTTTTGAGCAATAGGAAATAGTGAAAAGTACTACATCCTATATGAAATTGTGTATACCTTACTGATATAGTATTCAAGTATAGGCTTTTGAGAAACCAAAAGTAGAATAAATGTCCCTTCTGGTTACCGGAAATAACTGAAAAGTTAATACATAACTACAAATTTGATATAATACTTTTATATGAAATTTCATCAACCTTGCTGTAATGGTACACATGCTTATAATATTACAAAACTAAGTTTTTCCAACTTAGGTAGATGTAAAACAATTTTGATTTTTTGCCTTAATGCAATATACTTTCTCTATACTTTCAATACGAGAAAGTAAAATCATTTATTTTCTCCTTTTTGGTGCATAATTGTATGAAAGAATGTTTTAAAACTTGTTATGCATTTTTTTCTATAAGGGAGATCAATGTTTTGTGTATCTGCTAACAATATTTATATGTGTATTGTTGCATTTATATAGATAAAAACCTACATTTCAGGTAGCTAATGAAACCCACGTGACCCACATAACAAGTAAAAGCAGAGACCTGAATCCCAAGAATCTTCTCAAACTTCTTAAACACACAAGGTCAAACAATGTACAGGCACAGGGGAGAGTACTCTACATGTGCAGGTATTTTCTTTTTTAAAATCCTAACAAAAATCTTTTCCTTTGATAAACCACCATTTTTATATTAAAAAAGCCCATTCTGTGTGTGTGCTGAAAGATCATGTTTTGTTATTCCATGTTTTCAGAAACGGAGCTGAGTACAGCGGCCTCGCCTGTGTGTTGAGTCTTCTACTTGACCGAATGGACCATGACCAAAGTTTAACAGTTCCACTTGTTGTTGGTGCCATCAAATGTATCAGACCACAGGTCATCCCATCTCTGGTAAACATGTGTTTCTGTTTAACCTTTATACAAGTTTTTACTTGAATGCCATTGGTCAAAAACTTTTTACTTCCCAGGACCAGTACAGATGCCTGTATCAAGTTTTGAAAAGGTACAACGAAACTACCCAAACCTACAACAACTATGATCAGCTCTCTACAACTCGGCAAACTGAAGAAAATGTATATGCCAACAGTTAAGATGTTATTTTGCATGACTGTATAGCTTAACTAACATAATAAATGACTCTCAGAAAGTGTGACGCATGCATTTTTCTAATTAGGAGCCATGTTAATATTAACTCTTTTTATTTACAATACAAATTAATCAACATATCTATTAAAGTAGTTTATTTTTAAATGTACACAATTTTGTTTAATTTAATGTCCTTATACAAGTAATTCTTCTTCTTCTTCTTTGTTCTTAATTTTTAATGTTGAAGGGATCGAGGGTTTGAATTCGAGACTTTTTTTTTCAAATTTATTAACCATGAGCTTTTTCCGACTCGACTATGCCTCCATCACATTTAAGGATATGTGTCAACTGGTTATGCGCCATTGAGGCCATTGACTCCGATTTCAGCCTGCTTTTCTTTTTGGATTTGCTTCCATAGCCTTTGTCCAACAAAGAACACCAGTTGATTAATTTTGGAGTTGTCTCTCCTAGAAAAGTGGCTGTCCCCAGCTAACGATATTCATCTCCCCGAGGGTTCAAACTCGAGACTTTTCGGTTTAGCAACCATGAGTTTTACCGACTCAACCACGCCGACCCCTTACAACTAATTAACTTTTCAGTTATTACATAATAACTTGAACTAATCTTACATTAATGCTCATGATTTTTATATCACACGACGAATAAGATGAACAAGATATTAACATAATGAAGAACCCGGTGGAGACAACATTTAAAGGCTTCTAGTAATTAAATTTATTAGCTCTTTTATTTGTTATCTATAATAAAATTACTTCAGTTATTGACACACAAGCAAAATAATTATTTTAAGGTAACATTCTCATAATCAATGTTAAAATATGGTTGATTAATACCACTTTGCCTTTTCTAATTAAATTTTACTTTTTCTGCCAAAAAATTAATACCTGTGAGATATTTTATACTATGTATACATTTTTTTTATACTATTTTAAAATTAAATCTGTTAAATAAATTAAAACAGTTTTCAAATGTGAATATATATGTAAGGGGTTCTTCGAGAAATAGGTATCTTATATCCCACTTCTGACACCAAATGTAAGGGGAGAACCGAGAGGTGATCTTATTCACTCATCCGTGCACCTTTGTGTGGTGACAAAGGGGTTTACTAAACCTAAACAAACCAAACTAAACTAGACTAAGTAAACAAAAAATCAAAGTCAAGAGTAACTACGATATACTTTATTTGATCGTTAAATACCCCGCCTAAAAATTTAAAATAAAAGATCCAAACTCAACGAAAACTAAACCCCAGATGTAGCTGTTATAAAGCTTAAGAAAACGTGACTATATAAAGACAAGGGAAATATGACTACAAAAATGGCTAAAAATCGATTAAAAAAACTGCTTTAAAAAACAACTACTAAAAAAAACAACCGCTAAAAAAAACCCAGCCAAAATAGGCCGACTACAAACAACAATTTCTAGAATTTGACACTCACACAAAATGCTTCAAGACTCCTATTTGAACACAAAACTGGCTTCCGAAATTTTTGAGCACAAATTTAATTTTTGACGTTCTTAACGTGAGTAACTGTTGTTCTATTCTGAGTGAACCCCGTTTGGGCCTAGTTCGAGTGCCAATATATAGTCTAGTCGGCCCATCCCTTATCATCTCCCCAGAGCAATAGGGTCGCGGGTTGGGCTCCGTACCATCCCTCGGCGTTCGAGATAACACTGGTCACTATGCACCCATGCGTTTCACACCCGATAATTGACCGCTATAGATCTTCCCGTTGTCTCAGGGCTAACGATCGTGTCATACCCCGCTCGAGCTAACGTACGGCCACCCGGCACTCCCGCCGCGTTTCACACCTAACAACTGCTCGCGTCTAACTATCCGGCCCAGGCGATAATAAGTCCCTAAGGTCATCGGAATCGTTTCTGACGTCCACCTTCCGATCATGAGTCATGATCCAACCGTGACGTCCAGCGGCATGCCCGGACTCAACTTTAGACATAAATCACCGCGGGTGTCTTCCCAGCATTACTCGTCACTCATGCACCTGCATAGAGCTCGTAGCCGTTAACGACCAGGGTGAGCCGATAACATTTTAATTACATTTTAGATTTCCCTGGCCTGCTCATCCCCAATATCTTAGATTAACCCCTTGGGTTTCTGTAACTAGCACCTAGTCACCTTAGCCCCTTTAATAAGCACCCAAGTTACTATTACATTTTGGAATAAACAGTAGTATACCAGCCCACAAACCCAAGTTACTATTACATTTTAGGATTAACAGTAGTATACCAGCCCACATATACATTCCTTTATACTTTTTCATTTGTCTCATGTAAACATTTAATAATTTATTACTTAATTTAAGATCTAAGAGATGAATGTATGTCTTAATAAACTAACTTAAATTCGCAGCTTCTCTCTCTCTCCCTCTCCATATATATATGTATATATATATATATATATATATATCTATATATATATATATATATATATATATATAGATAGATATATATAGATAGATATATATATACAAGTCCTTTGCCCATGCTGTTTTTAATATAATATGACTTGTATCCTCCATTTCTGTACATTCAAATATTTTTTGCAACTTTAGTAAATAAACTTAATTCAACTCTTGCTAAAAATCTATTTGAACTGTTTTAATTTTTTAAAAACGAATACAAAAATTGTTCGATTGCTAATGTTTCGGAAAATGTAATATCTATGGAATTTTATCTTTTAAAAATATATCTACTCTAGCAGTCCCATGAACACCATTCACAATTGTATCCGAAATGTGTGACTAAAAATATTATTTGCAATATTTTTCTACTGCGGTTTTCATTTTTTTTTGCAATATAATAGTGTTATTGAACTACTTAGTACTATCAAAATCAATTTTTGAAATTTAACATGTAGGCCTATATTTACAAATGCTTAATAACGTTTCTAAAATGTTTTCGAATTTTCTTGGTATTATCTCTTGTGCTAAAAGCAAAAATGTTCACTAATTACGAGGTTAAATGTTGATATTGGTTGCAGTAATTTATCTTTAGTTCTCTTAGAAGAAGAATGATGAAGTCATACCACATATATTCTAAATTATAGGCCCTACATTTGGCTTTTCAGTGAATACTTTTTCTGATCTGTGTAGGCCTACTTAAATAAAAATACAAATATTCTAAAAATATGTTTATCGATATATAGATCGCCATGAACACATTAAGCATATTGCTTATTTCGTTTACTGTTGACCGATATAGGCATTTCCGAGGTTTCCTGTCTTCAGTTTTTAACATGGAATGATAACAAAGACATATCAATCGATTTTACTTCATTAATGTCGCTGCCAAAGGAGGTAACTACAAAATTCAAATACACCCAGCCGGGTTATGTGCACTTAGCTTTCTAAATTTAATGACTAGTAAATTGTTGTTTTGAAGCAGTTAATATCTCTGAAGTAAGAAGTAGAAAAAAAAGCTTTAGCGTATACAAGTCAACGATCTTAAATTCTGTGGTTTAAATATATGCAAAACACAGAGACCGGATAATGGCTTGTTGTATGAATTTGATGAGAAAGAAATAGAGACGGAGAGATGAGCAGCTATAGCGTCAACAAAAAAATGAATGAAGATAGCAATTAACCCACTCACTAGAGGGAGGGGGAAATAGAGAAGAAGAGGAAGGGTAAAAAGGGAGGGGGGGGGTCAATCGGGAACAGAAAATAGATAAGTGGAACGATGAGGAAACACGAGCTGGAAAGAGAAAGGTTGAAATATAGAACTGTATAAGGCAGAGTGGAAATAAATTATATAGATTGGGGGGGGGGGGGCGAGAGAAAAAATAGATATAATACCATTTCAAGAAATGTAAATGGAATAATATAAACTTGGTTATGTTTTGAGAGAAGACAGCGCGGGGTGGTCTTTTTACGTAGGAAGAAAACGAATATACTTTCCTAGAACTTAGGATACGATCATCAATAACAGGAAATACAACTCAGTTGTCATCACGACCTGTGCAGACATTTTTTTTGGTACTTTCTAACACCAGCCTTTTCAGCAATGCATAACAACTACAACCCAAAAAAAATGCTTTATGCTAAACAAAATGTGCTAATGAGTGCTGATGATCTGCTGCCATAAACACGACGATCACATGATTACGATTTCCCGTATGATATGGCAGAGGCGTAGCGAGGGAGGGGCCATTTAGGGGGGGGGGGGGGGGTGACATCAGGGTTAAACATTGCAAAATGTTCAAAAGAAAAAGGTTTTTCTGCCAGTTCCATTAATGATTAATTAAAGTTAAATAGTCTTTTATGTACAAATCGACAACTATTACAAAAGGTTGGGGGTGACTCCATTACATAAACCTGCTAACTATAAAGAAAACATTACTACGTCCAACTGTATTATTAACAGACTAAAAATAAACATAGTTACTATTACGTATGCAGTAATTAAAGCTTATATATATGTAGGCCGACACACACACACACACACACATATATATATATATATATATATATATATATATATATATATATATATATATATATATATATATATATATATATATATATATATATATATATATATATATTGTTTCTTGGGGGTGGTGACACCACCGAGTGCCGCACCGGGTGACATCCGACCTAGCGACGCCACACTGTGATATAGTTATGTCAAGAAGCTTTTCACAAATAAATGTGCTTGTTCCTTCATTTAATTTTTTATATGGTTGGAATTTTCGTCAGTTAATCGACATGACCGCCCCCTCAAACTGAATTGCGGGGTTTCCTGTGCTGTAGTTTCGCCACTAGGAAGAATGTCTATTAGGCAATTCAAAATTTAAAGAGAATTGTGAGCGACCATCACAATAGGCATGCAGATATGGCGAATTAATAGATGCTATTAGGATTCGTTAATGTTACGTTTTGTTTGTATCTCGATCCAACTACAATAATCATTTTATTGTCTCAGTATATTGTTTATGTTTGTGTTACTTATTTCATTGTAGGCCTACTATAAAATCAATTTAAGCTATATTATTTTATGAATTTACGTAATTAATGACTAAGAAGCAATTGCTGATAGCTGAGGCTAACGTAATAGAAAATGGATGTTTTCAAGTCTCATTTTTGTGACTAAATTTAGATTAAATAAAAATACATTAATCATTTTAACATTAAAGCATTTATTTTTCTAGTATAACCTACACATCTCAAATAATGTAAAATGTATCTTAAAGCAAAAATAAATAAATAAAATTAAAACTAGCGGAAGTTTTATTCAGGTTTCTTTGGAAACAAAAAGATTATCAATTGTTACTTTCTCGTATATACGAAGTATAGAGAAAGTCTTGTAATCGTGCAAAAAAAAATCGAGATTTTTTACACCTTTTTACACCTCACTGATACGGAACTGATATACCTCACTGGGACGGAGTGGTCTAGCGGTAGAGAGCTGGACTGCTAACCCGTAAGTTTCGAGTTCGAATCCGGGTACAAGTCAGTAGACCGTCCCTGAGTCCACCCAACTCTGATGGGTGCCTAACGCACGTTAGGGAAAGTTAAGACGGCTGGGCATAGTGCTGACCACACTATCTCTTCATATGCCGAGGTCACAGAAACAAGTGAACTCTACTTCACTTGCCCCATAGACTGTCAGGTTTGAAAGGGAAACTTTGATACGGAAAAGCATAGTTTTGCAATCTTGTCCGTGTGTCTGTCTGTGTGTGTGTCTGTCTGTGTGTAAACACGATAACTTGAGTAACAAGTGTAGTAAATATTAAAGAAAATTAAATAAACCAATACCCTTTCTAAAGTAAAAAAAAAAAACTTATGAAAAGAATGTAGGCCTACATAGCATGTTAAATATAATTTAAACATTAAATTTAAATAGTTAGAACATTTTAAAACAAATATTAGACAACAAGATGTACAATAATTATAATTTTTTTATTATTAATGACTAAATAAATCATATAATTAGATATCAGCTTTGGTACCTAATACAAGTTATCAGTCATAAGTATTTCATATTATCACAGCTGATGGACAGTGTATCTTGCATATGCAGATCCTATTGTACTTATAGGGAGCAGCGATAAAATATCACAAAATCCTTTATTGAGTCAAATATCGTATCTATACATGCAAAACTAAAAATAAACAGTAAAAAACACACAAATTACCCACCATAACATAAACATCAGAAGGAACACGAATAAAGAAAGTATAAGCAAATAAAATAGCTGAGCCTATCTTGATAGGAATGTAGGCCCTAATAATAACTAGAACCAAGAAAACATCTTTGACATCAACAAATAGCAAAGACTAATGTTAGAAATAAAAAAAAAAAAACCTACAAGAGTACTACCGTTTTGACATCAAGAAATATTACTAATAAAAAAAAATGCTAAAAGTAGTATATAACTAAAACTCATTGGCAAAATAACATCATTCAGGCCTAGGCTTTGAAGGATTGGAGACTGGGCTAAAACAGCTGGGAGTCCAGACTTGGAAAAACGTCTGAATAAAAAAGTCTGATAAGTCTGAATTTGTGCGAAGCAGGTCTCAATGAGCTTTAGAACCAAGTAGATTGATGGATATTATCAAGTTACAGATAACAGTATTAATGTATAGTTGTTTTCTCTAAAAAAAAGTAGTATATTTTAAAATCTTCAGAAAAAGCGTGTAAATAAATAAACAGCTAACCACCCTCCCCTACCCGCCAATATCCATACTATTTTTTGTAAACGAAACAAACAAACAAAAACTAAAAACAACAATAATGTATTATGAAATAGAAAAATCTAGCGATTAAGTAAAGAAAATGTCAACATTCTTCAAAAATTGTTAAGGGTGTTTGGATTTTTGAGGCAACTTTTAATTTTATTGCCTGTCTTATGTAAAATCTGTTTTGTAGCCTTCTACAAAATTGATAGTACACCTTAAAAAACACGAATATATTTTTAGAATATATATCAAAAAATATAAACATCAATAAACAGCAATGGACGCACCTTATTGGATCGAGTCAACAATTATAGTAGGTCATCGTATCCATAGTGTAGAACACAATACTAACGGTAGATCCAGGGGCGCCGATTTGCACCACGTAGGGGCGCCGCCCCACTAAAAATTAATTTCTGTTTTTATCGAAACCATCCCACGGGTATTCTCAGCTCTTCAAAGTTCGCGATGTTTTAGAGACAGCACTAACTTAGTTTTATGAATGAAATACAGACATGACAAATGACATTTTTAATAGCAGGTTTAACTAGGTAACCACAGAGTACGTATATTAATGTGTATTACTGTGAGTAAAATGTCTTTAACACAAACACAGATATAGCTGTTGTGATCTGCTTGTATTAATTTAAGAAAATCAATATCCTGCAATTTCCTATTAAATAGAGATCAGTTATTTAGGCCAAGCTATTTCCGATAGTTTCATGATAAGAGCATATGTACACGTACACGCACACACTCACGTGAACGTACACATACATTGCGCGTTATGAACAGTATGCATTGCAATGCTGTACAGAGGAGTACCTACCCATCTAACGTCAGGGGCGAACTTACAATTTTGCGACCCAATTAAATAAATAGGTGTTATATATAGGCCTATATATATATATATATATATATATTAGAAGCAATTTCGGATATGGTATATTAAATAGTAGGATTCGAAGTGCATTAGATTAAGGTCATTCAAGTGATAAACACTAGCAAATTATCAGAAACATTTCTAAGACGAATTGGAGTGTGACATACCTATTTAGTTGACTGGAAAGTGAATGATAAAACAAGATGCAGGAAATAAAGGAACTTGTTGATTCTGTTTTATTGTTGTGCTAGGTGGTCATGGACAGTGGAGAACGAAAATAAGAAAACAAAACTAGAAAGTCGTGAATAAGGCACACCTCAGAAAGACAATAAATAACAACACGTAGCATTTGCTGGTGCAGAGTCCAAGTTGAAAGAGGCAGAGGAGACCAAAGAAAACCATGTAAATATAATAAAATGTTTATAATAATAATACGATTTTAATTGCACCGAAAATAATAAAAGAAAACTAATTCACTTTCTTTAATTATACTATTTTTTGTCACTCATAAATTCTCTTCCATATTTTAGACACTCAGTATTGTTCTCTCACCATTCTTCACTGTCTACATTGTAAACCTCGTCAAGTTTAAACTTCCTAAATGTAAAGCTACAACTAAACAAAGCACAATTAATTTAGTGCATAAGAGGGGTACATTTCTCTATTTCACTTTTTTTGAAATAGAAATTCGAAATTAGCATATTATGAATTTTAGATAAAGAAAAAATTCTCAAGTTTCGTCTAGCACAAATTGAAACAGCTAAGGAAAAATACTATATAAAACAATTTAAAACAATGTTAAGAAACATGATTTCAGATAATATGTTTGATTGCTAATATGAAGAAAATATCTTTAGGCACAGTAATTGGAATTTTGTTTTTCGTAAATCTTATTAAAGTTCAGGAACATTATAAAAAACTCTCAGATTTACAAGTTAATTAATTATGGAATCATCCCTTTTCATGATAAGGCAGTAATGTTTTTATGTTTTACCATTCTTAACTGTTTTTATGGCCGATTTAACTCAGGGGAGATAAATTTCATAAAACGAATATTTCTTTTAGTTTATACAGAGTACGTTCCCATTAACGATAAACTTTGCAATAGAAATAAATCAACCTCGACGTATGGAGCACTGGTGCAGTCCCCTTTTTTGGCCTACATTAATTTTTAAATAGAGAGTTGACACATGCAATTATTCGGAGATGTTTTGTCACTCCACGTTTGCATTACAAATAGTAACTAAGTTAATTTAAAAAGAAAACATCAGATATCTATATTGATAGGTATATTCTAATTAATGAAATGGTATGAATAAAAATGTTAGTAATTTGAATAATGTATTTTAAGTTTAGTCAGAAAAAATAAAAAGTCACAATTTACAATTGTTCTGATTGATAACACACACTCTAGCCCTTAATCACAAACCCTTCAAATTTATAGATCGCAATAGGCGGAAATAAGCACGTTTTTTTTTCCTTTCTTTTTTTTTGTGTCTGCCGTTGACAAGAATAAGAACCTCATAACTTTTTGTATCTTCAGATCTTAAAATAGAATTGCTCAGTTAGGCCTATTTGCTTGACAATAATATTTACTTCCTTGTTATAAATGTTATGCCGTACGGGGAAGTAATTTAAATGTTTTAAACAAACAGAGCCTTGTTGTTTCCAACTTTGAGAGACTACTGGTCAACTGAAGCTTATCTACAGGTTACATGTGTTGCTGATGTGAGTCTAAATATAGATATAAGTAAATGGTGCAAGAATTCAATCCTGGCTGTAATCGAATAACAAAGCTTAAATATAGAGAAATGATAGCAAGAGGTAAAAGAGAACTACGAATTGGGCGAGTATTTAGGAGCGAATATGAGTATAAGGAAAAAAGATGTGTGAGGAATAATGTAAATCCCGGAAACTAAATTAAATAAAGTGAGATAGAGGAAGATAGTATAATAATAATATATTGACAGCTGTGAGAAGACTGTTGTGAGTGGGTGAGGTTATGTAGAAGGAAAAAGAGTAGGCAAAGGGAAAGGCGTAAGAAGTTAATGCAGATAGAAAATAAAATATGAAGGAAAGAGACGTAATTGTGAAATGGGGAGTAAGAGAAGGGGGATGGGGAATGGGCTAAAAGAAGGACTAAAATAGAGAGCAGTAAAACAGAGAGAAAATGTAGGAATAGATGAGAAAGACGATTGAAAAATGCGGAGAAGATAGATATAGTGAAAGATAGAAAGATTGATTGAAAAACATAAAAGGAAAGTTAGATATAGAGAGAGTAGTTTATAGAGTGTCTGGCCGTATGGAATATCAAACAACGCTCCACCACCACTCTCCAACCCCAATGACCCTAATGCACAGACCCACTTCCTTCTGGATTTATGTGATAACTGATTTTAAATGTGTGTCGCATGTCTGGATTTGTGTGATAACTGATTTCAAATGTGATACACACGTAGGAAGTGTTGAGCAGTGTGATAGCGTTAAGGGCGGGGCCACGGCGTGTCAAGCGACGGTCTAGTAATATCAAGTACTGTCCTGATCACTGATATTTCTATTTACTTGCGTTACAATGCATCGACAACAATCTTTAATCTTAAGCCGGCTGTTTAGCTGACTTGTGCCGTTTTGTATTGTGGTCTAAGTATTGTGTTCATTAGATGAATTTTTTATGTGAGTGTCACTATTTCAGCCTGCAGATTTTAACAACACATGTAAGCTTTGTTAGCATTGTCTTAATTAGTTACATATTATATTAATTTTAATACTTCAAATTTAAAACAAAAGCTGTTAGTTTTTTGTTTTTAAGTCTTTGTTTTTATTTATATTCATTTTTTTACTAAAAAGGATTTCGTTTTACAGTCATGTATGACCAATACGAAATTTCAACATAGAAAACTCCCCGTCTAGAAATTCATATAATTTAACCGTTATAACATGCTGTGGATTACAGACGTGCTTCGTTGATCACACATATTTTACAAACACAATATATTTGTTCATATGAATTTTAGACTATCAGAAAAGGAAGTGGATTACTATTCTATTGTTATCAATACAGAACAGGATGACATTTAGAAGAGCCTGGGAATAGCACTTAGCTTATATACTCATAGAATATATTTTAGGAATGAATTCACCATTAGGAAATTTTCATGTATGGTTTAGTGTTCATATTTAAAAGTATGTATTCAAAATGTATATAAAATTTTCTTTATTTTTACAGTGTTTAATTATAATTAATGTATCTCTACCATAGCACATTAGAGACATGCACACATGTAATGCACTTTCTAATTATTAAATTCAATGCTATATTATACTTTACAGGAGAAGCAGGACAAAATTCACTCATGGCATGGACAATAGTTTTTTGGTGGTGTCATTTAGTCTGGGCTGCTTCAGGTAATATAGATATCGATAGGTCACACGATTTATTTGTATTGATCTTGATATTTTTCTTTATGAAAAGTCGTATTCTTTTTCAAAGCATTTTTAACTGCAACTGTAATTTAGTAAAAAAAACTACATCTAATAAAATAATGGTTGTGTTTCAATATATTCACATTTACACTATCATGACAAATTAATAGGTTAATTACAACTGTTTTTGACTAATTAGAAAAAGTATATAATTGTATATTATTATAAGGATGCAACACTGGATGGTTTGGCTCCAGCTGCCAATACAAATGTCACTGTACCAACAACAGATGTGATGACCAAGGTCTGTGTTTAGCTGGGTCAAGTTGTGAGCGGGGCTGGTTTGGTCCACTCTGTCAGTACCGTAAGTTTACAGCTTTACCTAAGCATGCCATTTCTCTTCCTCCTTTTTAAATCCGTCTGTATTACTTTCTATGGTGCCTCTCAGTATACCTAGTGAAGTGTAGCTTCATCATTCCCAAAAATCCTAATTTAAAGCAATAATAAATTCATATAAAACAGATAATAATATAATAGACAATTAAACACAAAAAAATATGTACAAACAACAGCAAACGTTTGTTTGATCATTATTATTGGAGAGACTGTAAATAAATTAGATCTACGTATCCTTCCAAAAGCTTTATTTATTGCGACAACATTGCGAGCAAGGCGGTGATGATGCTCTTAGACTGCGACATACCAAGGCCAGATGAGAATTCTAATCTGAAAACATTTATATTTCTTTTATTACATGTCATTCATTTTTTATGTGTATTCGTTTATGTGGTTTTAGCATCTATGCTTGAGTAAAATATTTTCACGAATTTACAACATTATGTCATCTTTAGTTAATAATAAATGCAAAAAACATTACAATGTTACAATGTCTTGATTATAATGATTCTTCCTTCAAAAAATTTAACCTGATTTTTGTTCAGGCAACATAATTTTATTCAAATTGATATAGAAATGTTATTACTTTTCCCTTAGAGGTATTAGGACCACATAACGCAATTAAGGGTATCATGATTCAACTATAACCATATACAAATAGATAAATATCAGAGTTGGTTATAGCTGAGTTGGTTATAGAAGAGTTGGTTATAGAAGAGTTGGTTATAGAAGTGTTGGTTATAGTAGTGTTGGTTATAGAAGAGTTGGTTATAGAAGAGTTGGTTATAGCTGAGTTAGTTATAGCTGAGTTGGTTACAGAAGAGTTGGTTATAGAAGAGATGGTTATAGCTGATTTGGTTATAGCTGAGATGGTTATAGCTAAGTTGGTTATAGCTGAGTGGGTTATAACTGTGTTGCTTATAGAAGAGTTGGTTATAGCTGAGTTGGTTATAGAAGAGTTGGTTATAGCTGAGTTGGTTATAGAAAAGTTGGTTATAGATGAGTTGGTTATAGAAGAGTTGGTTATAGAAGAGATGGTTATAGCTGAGTTGGTTATAGAAGAGTTGGTTATAGAAGAGATGGTTATAGCTGAGTTAGTTATAGAAGAGTTGGTTATAGCTGAGCTGGTTATAGTTGGGTTGATTATAGCTGAGTTGGTTATAGAAGAGTTGGTTATAGAAGAGTTGGTTATAGAAGAGTTGGTTATAGCTGAGTTGGTTATAGCTGAGTTGGTTATAGAAGAGTTGGTTATAGAAGAGTTGGCTATAGCTGAGTTGGTTATAGAAGAGTTGGTTTTAGAAGAGTTGGTTATAGAAGTGTTGGTTATAGAAGAGTTGGTTATAGAAGTGTTGGTTATAGAAGTGTTGGTTATAGAAGAGATGGTTATAGCTGAGTTGGTTATAGAAGAGTTGGTTATAGCTGAGTTGGTTATAGCTGAGTTGGTTATAGCTGAGTTGGTTATAGAAGAGTTGGTTATAGAAGAGATGGTTATAGCTGAGTTGGTTATAGAAGAGTTGGTTATAGCTGAATTGGTTATAGAAGAGTTGGTTATAGAAGAGTTGGTTATAGAAGAGTTGGTTATAGAAGAGTTGGTTATAGAAGAGATGGTTATAGCTGAGTTGGTTATAGAAGAGTTGGTTATAGCTGAGTTGGTTATAGCTGAGTTGGTTATAGAAGAGTTGGTTATAGAAGAGATGGTTATAGCTGAGTTGGTTATAGAAGAGTTGGTTATAGAAGAGTTGGTTATAGAAGTGTTAGTTGTAGAAGAGTTGGTTTCGCTGTGAGATATTTTGTCTGAGATATTTTGTCTGAGATCATTTGTCCATGATATCATTTGTCCTGATATATTTTGTCCTGGTATATTTTGTCCGTGAGATCATTTGTCCTTGAGATCATTTGTCCTGAGATCATTTGTCCTGAGATCATTTGTCCGTGAGATATTTTGTCTGAGATATTTTGTCTGAGATCATTTGTCCTGAGATCATTTGTCATGGAACCATATATATATATATATATATATATATATATATATATATATATATATATATATATATATATATATATATATATATATATATATATATATATATATTCATTTTAAAAACAATACAAATTGATTAATACAATCTGAATTAATTTTATACAGAAGACCTTGCTACATTAAACGCTGTCTTAGTACCAGAGTCCAGTAACATAGTAGACGGACAGGATGTGACGTGGACAAGTTTACAAAACGTAACAATTAGATGGAGTGTAGAGTACAGAGTTAAGTGGATACAGATTGTGATGGGGGACACAAGTAGGATAGGGAATTTAACATCCTCTCACGTGTTTTAAATACTTTTGCTCATTGCATAGCATTTTATATGTAGAATATGTATGGTGACAAGTAGTGTCTAATGGAGGAATATATTGATTAATTGCAATTATCATTAAAATAAAATGCTTGTAGTTTATGAAAACGTAAAAATAATGTGTTATTATTTTTTCTTACAACACACTGAACAACGCATGTAATAATCAAACAATAACAGGTTTTAGTTTTATATGCTGCTTACATTATATTACGTGATAGTAAAATAATAAATTGTTATTTCAGGCTCAATTAAAGACGTACTCGTAACATTCCGAAATAAAACCAAAAACAGGTCTTGCATTGATCAAACAGTGACCAAAGTAAATAATATAACAACCGATATTTTATGCAATTCTTGGATTAGAACTACTCAGATATTTATTGATTTCAGAACATCAAAAAATGTGGCTTCTCTTCACATTAGTGGGGGTGAGTAGAAGTAGAGATACACTATTTTTATAAATTAAATGAAGAACACAATGTTTTACTGTGTTGTACATATATAAATTTACAAATATGACATCAGAGAAAACAATGGACTTCTCAACGAAGTGACACCTTTTAAGAAGCGTGCAAAATAATTTGAAGTAATCTGTTGAATTAAGTTCGCTACTATAATTAACGTAGTTCATCTAACAATGGTACGTATATCATAATGAGTGTATAAGTTTGATTCTAAAATTCACGGGATGTCTGTACTAGAAAGTAATGTGTTGTAGTATATTTTTTGGTATATTGTTGATATAGTATTGCAACAAAAAACGCTGCATTTTAAATAAAAAATATGATTCATGTTAATTAATTATTTTTTTCTTATCAGGCCGAAATTTGGCTCTAAAAATGGCAACCAGACAGACCAGCGATTACGTTGATACTGAGCGAGGCCTGACCTTTGACTCGACGAGAGCTGTGGATGGGAATCCTAATGGAGATTTCAACGGGCAACTGTCTTGTACTCATACTGAACAGCATCCTGTCCCCAGCAGTTGGACTGTGACATTTCCTAGGCCACAGTTTGTTACAAGATATGTCTTATACAACAGGGGTAGGCGAGTTACTGTAACATTTGGTAATATAATGCAATTCAAAATGGTTTCCAACCATTAAAATGCTCTCGATATGATTTACCTAAATCGATTTATTTCATAAAATACAATTATAAATTACATTAATATTTGGGACTATTATTAAACCAATTAAGTTGACGGTAACTATGGAGTGCGACTGAAAGGATTTAACTTGATCAGCTACACCCCAAACAACTCAGCTGCATTCAACTATACGGATAATACAAACAGCACCAGTGAACATATTTACAATGTAACGACTACGGGAAAGAAGGGGGTGTCGTCTATTGAAATAATAGCTAAACACAAAGACAACTATTTAACACTGTGTGAAGTGGAAGTTTACGGCGGTAGGAAATACTTTTTCATTTTCAATACAGACTTATAGTCCTACACACAATATGTATATTTAATAATTTAACCAATTATGTGTTTTTCAACATAACTGATTTTGTTAGACTGTGTATTAAAGTAATGACATTAACATCAAAGTGGGAAACTATGTAACAGACGGGGGATTTAAAGGGTATCTAGTGCTTTACTCGGGGAAATGATCTCCACTAGAGGACGAGTATGCTAAATTATGTTGGCTACAGTTTCCGCTGATGTTTCTTACCTTCCTACAAGATAAGGCCAGTTTGAATGTATGTTTGTATGATTCAAATAGATCAAGAATGTCCAGACAACACATACGGGCTAGACTGTAGCAGTACGTGCAATTGTACTAACTGGAAACAGTGTTTTGTTTCAACTGGTCAGTGTCATGGCGGCTGTGTTGCTGGTTTCTATGGTGATGAATGCAGCCAATGTAAGCTATTGATCAATGTAACGTTACTCGCAATGATTATAATAAATACGTATTCCAGATTCTACATATTTAGTCCAGCCGATAACAAAACAAACATGTTTAATTCGAGATTTTGTTTTTCCTGTCAACCAAGCATGTTCGGCTGGATCCTATGGAGAAAACTGCTCAAAGAATTGCAGTACAAATTGCACCAACCAGATGTGTGATCGGTTTAATGGTTCATGTCTTCAATGTATACCTGGTAGAGTTGGTCCATTCTGTGAACTGTGTATGTCGAAATATTCCTTTTTTTCTGTTTATTGGTTTGCGTTTATAATAGATGACAGCCTTCGAATTGTTTCTAATATTCAAAATGTATAGCTGATAGCTTTGAAATCATGCATTGTTATAATTCAGAATGTTAAGATTTTTAAAGTAGCTATATATATATATATATATATATATATATATATATATATATATATATATATATATATACTTCCATATTAAGTAGAAATGTTGGATTATTAAAATTACAGCCTGTAATACCTCGTTCTACGGTCAGAACTGTACACAGAAATGTAGTACAAATTGTACTGACTCGAAGTGTGACAACACCGATGGAAAATGCCATGAATGTATTCCTGGAACCAGCGGAGACTTTTGTCATTTAGGCAGGTTAATTTAATTCATTTGTAGTTAAAGCATGCAGCCTACATACAAATTATCAAGAACATAATGCACACGCATGGGAGGAATTAGAAACGCATCATATTAAAGTTAAATTTACACTTTATTTAACTGTATGATGTTCCAAATGACTTAATTTAATTATATATGAATGGATCTAATTACAGCTTGCGACGAGCATCATTATGGGCCTGAGTGTATCTACAGTTGCTCATCAATGTGTGAGAATTCAACGTGTGATAAAACAAATGGTATCTGCCGCACCTGCATATCAGGATATCAAAATGATTATTGTAACTCAAGTAAGCCAAGTCAACATAATTTATAAACAGTTTTGATGGCATAATATAGTTCCGCTTAGTATCAACCACACAGCCAAAATTAAGTTGTATAATCTGGACCACAAAACAAAATTAGTTAGACTTTGAAGAGATTAGAAATCAGCCAATTAAACTTAAAATTAAATGTACTTTATTTAATTGTATGTTTATTACAAACGAGCTGACCCGCGATTTAGCATACGCCGCCATCTAGTTGTTTTATTTTCTGCTTATCAGAAATTCATAATTTGTGAATTCAACACTACCCCCTCCTGCCCTGCGGCCTTCCCTCCCCCCTCCCACCCCCTCGCCCAGTGAAAGCAGCCGTTTACAGACAATGAAAAAATCAATCAGAAATTGTTACCCCCCCCCCCCCTTCGTTTCAAATCGTTTAATACAAAATTATCTGCCCCTAACAGCCGTCACTAACCCGGCTCTACAATTGTAAACGTTCGTCCTAAACCAAAACTCACCTGATTGGTGGGGGGTGGGGGTGGTAGCGATTTGCCTGGAGAGTGGGGTAGTAACGGAGTGCGTCTACGTCTTGTCCTGAATGGTCCCCATGAAGAGAATTATATATAGAGATGACTTAATCTAATCAAATATGAATGGTTATAATTACAGCTTGCGACGAGCATCATTATGGCCCTGGGTGTATCTACAGTTGCTCATCAATGTGTGAGAATTCAACGTGTGATAAAACAAATGGAGTCTGTGGTACCTGCATTTCAGGATATCAAGATGATTATTGTAACTCAAGTAAGCCTTAGATAGTCGCATTGGTATCTAACACATCTAGTCAATTATATTGATACAAATGTTGATTGTATAATATAGTTCCGCTTAGTATCAACAAAACAGCCAGAGCTAAGTTCTATAATCTGGACCACGTAACACAATTATGTAAAGTTTGATAATGATATATTGATGTTGATATATATATATATATATATATATATATATATATATATATATATATATATATATATATATATATATATATATATATATATATATATACATACTTACACATAAGTAGAAATGTTGGATTATTAAAATTACAGCCTGCAATACCTCGTTCTACGGTAAGAACTGTACACAGAAATGTAGTACAAATTGTACAGACTCGAAGTGTAACAACACCGATGGAAAATGCCATGAATGTATTCCTGGAACCAGCGGAGACTTTTGTCATTTAGGCAGGTTAATTTCATTCATTTGTAGGTACAGCAAGCGACCTACATACCAGATATAAGTTATAATTATTATAATGCTAATACCAGTTATAAAAGCACACTTACTGGAGGAATTATAAATGCATCATAATAATGTTAAATATACAATTTCTTTAATTGTATGTTTGATGTTTACAGATGACTTAAACTAATCAAATATGAATGGATCTAATTACAGCTTGCGACGAGAATCATTATGGGCCTGGGTGTATCTACAATTGCTCATCAATGTGTGAGAATTCAACGTGTGATAAAACAAATGGTGTCTGTGGTACCTGCATATCAGGATATCAGGATGATTATTGTAACTCAAGTAAGCCATAGCTATTCGGCATTCTTATCTACACATCGAGTCAATAATAACAAGAAACAATTTTGATTGCATCATATAGTTCCACTTAGTATCAACAAAACAGCCAGAGCGTAGTTCTATAATCTGGACCACGTAACACAATTATGTAGAGTTTAAAGATATTAGAAATCATCTAAATATTTATTTATTTATCAAAAAGCATGCGACGAGCATCATTACGGACCTGGTTGTAGAAACAAGTGCTCTCCAAACTGCCTGAGTTATAAATGTAATCACACCAGTGGTAATTGCTTAACGTGTATTCCTGGGAGAGTTGGTCCATTCTGTGAACAGGGTATGTCCAGTAATTCCATTTATTTTTTCTTTATTAATATTTATATATAATAGACGACATTTACTCATAACACTAAACTTTTA